ATTGTTGCGGACCTACTAGATCACTTAGCAGTCAGGTATGCTAAGAACTGATCCCAGTACGAGTGAGATCGGGAAGAACCGAGATTATAGGATATGCTCTTTTTCATAACAGTTCCGATTCTACATTGATAGCATCAACCTGTGCGAAATTGCTTGGGTTGCAGGAAGACTATGAGTTAGTTATGGTGCAGACCGTAGGAGGTAACAAAACGGCAGGGGTTATGAATGCCACTTTCGAAGTGCATTCTTTAGATCAGTCGGAACATATTGTGATCGAAGGGGCGTTGGTCGTATCTAGCCTACCAAGACATAAGCCCACGATGTCATCAATGAAGAATCTAAATAAGTGGCCGCACATAAATGATATACCAGTTGAAAGCCTAGACTCTGAAGACGTTTTAATGCTCATTGGTTGTGACGTACTAGAAGCACATTGGGTGTTAGAGCAGCGGCTAGGTGGAAGGAAGGCGGTAAAAACACTACACGGATAGACTATATTCGGACCTACATCATAACCGGAGTATAGAAAGCGAATCGTTAATCATATTAGTAGCGTGCAAGTTTTGGAAGACCAGATACGTAAGCTGTATGATGTGGAGGTCGCTGATGTCTATTCTAGTGACAAGTCAGGTTCTGTAGAAGAGCAGGTAGCTACTGAAATTGTGCAGAGAGGTACACACTTCGTCGACGGCCATTTTGTAGTTCCGATACCATGGAAACAGGACCCCTCTACGAAATGGACCAATTATGAGGTAGCTAGTAATAAGCTACAGAGTTTGGAGCGAAGATTGATGAAAGACGATAGGTTGCGTGTCAGGTACGCTAAAAGTATGGAAGATAGCGCCTCTAAGGGCTATACGCAAAGGGTGCCTGAGTTGCAGTTGAAGTTGGAGTATCGTCCCCGGTGGTAAATACCTCACCATCACGTGTTGAACCCCAAAAAACCAGATAAGTTGAGAGTGGTCCTGGACTGTGCTGCCAAGTTTGCTGGAATCTCCTTAAGCAATATAATCTATCAAGGGCCGAACAGGACCTCCGATCTGTTGCGTTTTCGCAAGGAAGCAGTAGCGGTATCGGCAGATGTTTAGGAAATGTTTATGCAAGTGAAGGTACCCGAAGGTGATCGAGGAGCCCTAAGGTTTCTGTGGTGGGGAGGTGGAGACAAATCTGAAGAACCATCCGAATTTCAGATGACCTCTCACTCATTTGGAGCCACTTCATCTCCGTTTTGTGAAAACTTTGCTATGAATAAGACAGCCCAAATCTTCTCGAGTGATTATGAACGTTATGTTGTGCATGCAGTCAAAAACAACATTTACGTCGATGACTGTCTGATATATCCTTTGCAAGCTGTGACCAAGCCAGGAAGTTTGTCATTCAGATAAGTGAGTTGTTACGTTGAGGAGGGTTCAACTTAAAAAAGATGGGTTACTAATTCAGAGGAAGTGAGGTCTATATTACCGGATATAGGTAACAAGGAGTCATCGTTAGGAGTATCGGCGGATTGTACTGTTACTCATCGAACACTTGGTACAGAATTGGATGTCGAACGGGACGTATTTAATTCCGACTTCATGGCACCGGTTAAGTCCGTGACAAAGAGAGGGATCCAATCGGTTGTTTCGTCCCTGTTCGATCCTTAGGGTTTAATCGCTCCAGTGTGCCTTACGGGTAAACTACTCTCGCAAAGTTTATGTAAATCTCATATAGGATGGGATCAACCTCTCGACGAACCATATGTGTCCACGTGGCTAGATTGGTTGAGTTTCACGCGTCAGATGGATCATGTTACGGTTGCTTGAGGAATCAAGAACAGAGTCGACGGACCTGACGCGAAAGTGGAGTTGCACTTATTCAGCGACGCCTCAGAGATCGGCTACGGAGCAGTTGCTTATGCTCAGGTAAATTATACGAAGACACAACCCTACTGTATCTTGTTATACAGCAAGTCTAGAGTAGCACCAATCAAGCAAGTTACTATACCGGGATTAGAGATGGCGGCAGCGGTTTTCAGTGTAAGGTTGAGTGAGGTCATACGGAAAAGTCTGCCTAACTTCTTCTGTGAAGTAAATTTCCGTACTGATTCCATGATAGTGTTATACTACATTAAGAATACTGAAAAGCGGTACGCCAGCTATAAAGCTAACCGTCTCGTTATTGTCCACCAGTATACCAGTGTTCAGCAATGGAGTTATGTAAGTTCATCGCAGGATCGGCCGACTGGACTTCGAGAGGCATACGAAAGATAACCGATCGGGAATCCTGGTTTAAATGTCCTACGCTGCTGTATAGCAATTCAGATGCATCCACTAACCACCCAGAACCTAGTCGAGTTCAGAAAAGCTGCGGTCAATTTGAGTAGTACAATAAATACCCCGTCGCCCATTTTGTCTTACTAGTTGGAATGGATGAAATTGATTAGGGCTTTAGCGTGGCTCAGAAGGTTCATCGACCTCTGGATAGTACTTCGCTGACCGAGAATTGAAGGCTCTGTTAAGAAAGGCTACATAAAGGTCAAGGAGCTTGAGACAGCCAAACGGAAATTTCCAGTGTTGGTACAAAAGTAGGAATACGGAGGATTACTTAACGAATCCAACGTTAGTCGTAAAGTAGTGAGTAGTAAACGTCTGAGTGGTTTATCACCGGTAATGTGTAATGGGTTACTCTGCGTCGGAGGTCTCCTGACGTACTCCGAACTCCCGAGTGCATTCAAACATCCCGTAATTTTGCCTAGTCGACCTTTAGTAACCGAAATGATAATCAGACACTATCACAAAGAAGAAGGACATATAGGAACATCTCATGTGCTAGCTACGATTCGCAAGTACTATTGGATAGTTAAGGGCACTAGCACGGTTAAGAGAGTAATAGGAAGGTGTGAAACTTGCCGAAGGTTTACTCTAAGTCCAGGGAATCAACTGATTGCGCCTCTTCCAGTTTATAGTGTGCAAAGAGGTTGGTATATTTTCTCGACGATAAGAGTAGACTACTTTGGACCCCTTCTGGTCAAGAGGAGTAGGTCACTAGAAGAAAGATAAGGATGTGTGTTCATCTGCCTACAAACTCGAGCAAATACGTATTGAGATGACATACAGCTTGAATACCGATTCATTTATAATGGCTTTGATACGTTTTATCGGAAGAAGTGGGGGGCCAACAGACGTGTATAACGACAATGGATCAAACTTCGTAGGCGCAGTCACTGAACTAAAGAGCTTCGTGCAACAGTGGAATCAGCAGAACATAAGTAAGGAATTATCATCAAGATAAGTTCAATGGCATTTCAACCCCCCACTAGCCAGCTACAGATGTGGATGATTAGATCTATACGAAGACTGTTATTATTGGTCACTAGAGAACAGGCGTTAACTGACGAAACGTTGGGCACCTATCTGGTTGAAATTAAGAGAATCCTGAATGACCGACCCTTAACCCCATTTGTCCAGGATGCTAATGACCGACTAGCTCTATCACTAAATACCTTACTTTTATTGAGGGAGTGTGATGGAATAACTGAGGAAGGTAGCATCAGATACAGGTTCCACAAACGTTGGAAGCAGGTAAATTATTTAGCTAATGTATTTTGGAAAAGGTGGCTAAAAGAATACTTGCCCTCATTACAAACTTGTCAAAAATGGCTAATGAAAGACCGCAATTTCCAGAAAAGCGACGTTGTAATTTTGGCCTCGGATATTATTACTCGTGGAAAATGGCCCTTAGGAATAGTAGAGGATTGTGAGACGGATAATGACGGAAAGGTCAGAACGGTAATTGTTCGTACTAATAACCAGTTAGTGAGGAGAGACATACCAAAGGTGTGTCTCCGAGAAAGGTCGAACTAGATTTGTCATATGAGCGCAGGAGTTCGAGTAGGCGTACTGCTGTAAGTCCTACACGTTCTCTTGCCTTAGATCGCGTGAGTGAAGCCCTAAGTTGAAGTGTCAGAAGGGCTTGCTTTGTATGGAGGGATTTTTCGGGCCGGTGTAGAATCTATTTTGAAGGCCTTGTTTTTGGAAAATCCCTCCATGTATACATATATGTGTTATGATCTGACTGACTCTTTCTGTTGATAATTTGGTACTGTATTTGATTCCATTTTGGGATTTTATCATTTGTATCTTGTTATTATTTCTACCAGCAGGGACTAACATATACCGGTTCATGTAATATTCCTTGACCTAGAAAAGGATTCGACACTGTACTTGACGCAAATTTAGTAAACATAAGGTCCATTGAGTCATTTATATTTTGTTTGGTAAGTACCTGGAGAACAGGATATTTCGTACCGAGGAAAATGGAGTAAAAGTGAGGTGAAGATTTCAAAACTCAAGAGCTTCTCAGCTGATAATATAGAATCCACTCCTTTTCCTGATATTTATTATTGACCTTCTTAGCGAAGTAAGCTTAGAGGCACTAATCTGTCCAGACGACACAGAAATCCAAAGACCCATTACTTACAAAAAGCATTCACTTCACGCTGTCTTGGGGTAGTAACCACAGATAGCTTGGATAGCACCTCAAGCTTCACTCAGGATATGGCTATGACAAATGCAGCTGTTCACACAAAGCGAAGGCAAATTGATTTAATCACCCCAAAATTATTCCTAATCCTTTTCAAAACGTGTGCAGCCGGATCAAAAACCTTGCAAATACAAAAATAACCATCTCAGTGATTAGGATTAGTGTAACCAAGTGACTGGACTACGGCCATGTGAACTTTGTCAAATAAATGAGACGGTAGCGAAACACTAAGAAGCGGGCGCAGAGAAATCGGTCGGTTAATACTGGCTCATGATAAAGATATTGCTCACTATTTTTCCTACTCTTTTCTCTTATATATTTGCTCATACATACTACTCTTCACATTCCCTCAGTATACGAGGAATGGTTGGGTTAGACGCAAACCTGCCTTATGTTGAACGTTACGTCTTTATCGGTCTGCGATAACACATATTCGACCTTCAGAGGGGCGTTCTTTGAAGTTTATTTCTTTGAGTAACATGGTAGAGAATAATCTCATAAGATATTTTTTAGTATCTTAATAACTTTAAGTTAGTCGCATCGGCTTTGATTTTTTATGAATTTAAGCATTTTGAGGTACTACAGACTTCAATAATTCTTGAATGCTATGGGTGCATTCAATACAACTTCACAATCCTAGTTTGCTAGACTAGATTAGTCTAGTCTATTTATGTTAAACATACTATTATTTACTAGTCAGTTACGACAGACGTATGATTGACAAGTGTTATCTAACATCTACGAGACGAGCTAGCAAACTCGCTTATACTAGTATGAACCTATTAACCTACAAATAACTTCCGCATTCACCAGGACAAATTCTGCTGAGTAACTAGAATATTCAAAATAGACACAAATTAATATCCAAAACCGTACTATGTATTCAAGAACTGAAAGCAAAAAAATTAACTAGTTTATCCTAGCTTCTCTCATATATGCTAACCATGTATTTTGCATGAATGACTACTGAATAATGTTAATAGATTGCATTAAGTTTCTAAACAATTAAGATCGCCAAAAGAATTCATAATGTGTGGTTATAGCATAAGGAGCAATATTTGGCTCCTGACTCCGTCGCAATAGCAATAATCCGTAAAACAGGTATCCTTGTTAGTCGCCAGTGAGTAACATACGGCGATATTGACTCACGATTTTAATGTCGTACGTATTCACTATTTCTTTTCAAATACAAGTTTGTCGGTTTACTATGCATAGAGATCAAACGTTAAATGAACAGTAGAATTTGTCACTGGAACATACTCTGATTCTGTCAGTGTAATGAGCTTTTTATAGTCAGTCAGATGCAACGTAGAACTTGGTACGTAAGTACATCAGTTCATGTTGCCATAACTTATCATCACAGAGATATAATTGTCTATTCAAACCCAATAGTTGTAGAGGTATTAAAGGTATTAGAAGTAATCGGAGAGGTTAGGATTAGAAGATATTATTCAAGAAGTATGATTCAGTGAGAAAATTTTAGAAAGACAAAACTAGAGGTGTTGAAGAATCCAGAAGGTTAGGATTTGAGAGACCACAGAGAATAAATGCACCGGCGCCATTCCAAACGGTTTTGAGCCATGTCATTCAGGGTATCTAACCATCGATTATTATCATCTCGCGGACCCCAACCAGGTAGTCGACAACTACCGACATGACTCAGTCCACTTGTCAATGACTGTATGAATTTGTGCAATGTTTTGATTTGGCCGCCCCTAACTTTCTTCCAACCTATTCCTACACTACAAAACAAAGCTCGACGAGGCAGTCGGTGGTTAGGCATACGCAACACATGTCCCAACCACCTCAACTGATAAAGTTCCACCACTTCATCGATTGATCTGCCATTCTTACCTAGCACTCGTTTCCTAATAACAGCGTTGCTCACTCGGGTGTCCCACGATATACAAGCAATGCTTCGAAGACACCTATGATCGAAAACCAGTAACCGACGAATATCTACTCTCATTGGCCATGTTTCACAGCCATAAAGTAAGACGGAGCGAACTACTGCGCAGTACACTCGTCTTTTAGTCAGCAAACGGATATCTCGCCTACGCCATAAGTGACGCAGGTTGGCAAAAGCCAATCGAGCCTTCTGTATCCGTGCTGAGATTTTGTCGGTCACCAGACCATCAGCACTGATGAGACTCCCCAGATAAGTGAAGCGATCTACACGTTCGAATACTTCACTCCCTATCGCTAGTTCAGGTGTCGATGCAACCCAGTCTTGAAGCAACATTTTGCATTTCGAGGGGGAAAACCGCATCCCGAACATGCTTGCATTTTTGCTTAGGGTGGTCAGAAGACTCTGCATTTTGTCAGCGTCTTCACCGAATAGAACTATGTCATCGGCATATTCTAAGTCGATAAGCGAGCCACTTGGTATAAGGTCTACTCCAGAAAATTCAGACGAGGATAAGGTTATTTCTAGGAGCATGTCTATGATAAAATTAAACAAGAATGGAGAGAGTGGACATCCCTGACGCACACCACTTGAAATAAAGAATTCCGGTGACAGTTCTCCATAAGCTCTCACTCGACCAGTGGTGTTCGAATAGAGAGCTTGTATGAGGTTAATTTACTTCTTTGGTACACCTTTCAATGACAGACACTGCCACAGAACCTCACGGTCTACTGAGTCGAATGCCGCCTTAAGGTCCATGAAGACAAATATTGTAATACGCCTAAATGTATGTCTGTGTTCCAGGACCTGTCGTAGTGTGAAAATGTGATCTATACAGCCACGTCCAGGTCTGAAACCAGTATGATTTTCTCTAGTCTGCTCTTCACGAGCACTAGTAAGGCGTCTAAGTATAATCGAGGCTAACAATTTAGAAACTATATTAGTTAAACTGATTCCCCTGTGATTGTCACAAGAAGACTTTTGTCCTTCCTTATAGATTGGGACAATCAGTGATTGAGACCAGTCGGATGAGATTACGTCCAGTTCCCAGATTCTACCTAAGATCTCAGTCAACCTAGCTGCTAAAGCTCGACCACCATCCTTAAATATCTCAGGGGCAGTCTATCGGGACCTGCAAGAGCTTTTTATAACCCTGTAATCATTGATTGTTGAACTGCCGTTTCAGCAGATGCAGTATACTTGGTTAGAATCCGCGTAGTCATTGTAACTAGTGATTAGACTGCTTGAAACGAACCAAATTCATTTCCAATGGCACAGATATATTAACTCTTCGTTTTCCCTTATATCCCAAGTCTATTTTATCTGATCAACGCCACAAATCCACACTTTTTCTGACCATATCTTCTATTTTCAAACTTTTCTGATAATACTGATGCTTTCCATACTCCTACTACCCTGGGATTTTATCTCGCTGTAAGAATGTGGTGTGATCGCTTGAACCGATGTACATATATGCCAGGTTTCATGCTGCGCTTGAATTACTAATTTTACAGTTTATAGTTTTATTTTGTGTCGAATGACGTTAACTTAAACAACTATTAGCATCCCTAGCAGAGTGAAATAAACAGTAGAAACAGTGCGATGCACATAATGGGATTTTGATTTTTAATTCTATCGACCTTTAGTATGCAAATAACCTCATATTTACGTACTTCCGTTATGTTATTTCCGGTGCCAAAATTATTAAATTTAGTCAAAGAAGAAAGGTTTGAGTCTCAATGAAAAGCGGCAAAGAATGTTAGATTTCTTCTACGAAAAAGTGGATGAGTTTTTATTACTCCATATTTCCAATTTAGAAAGACTTCTTTCAGCTTAAGGAGTTGGAAAGGCTTTGTCAGAAAGAAAAAGGTATCAATTCTATGTCTGTAAAAGATGTGTTGATGAGCCTTGTTCATGATGGTTTGGTCGATACCGACAAAATAGGAACTAGTGTTTACTTTTGGGCGTTTCCCAGTAAAGCTGCTCAAAAAGTAAGTCGTGTATGAGTAACGAGAATGTCTCACTTTAGCTTAAATGCAACATAGAGAAATTGACGGCAGATATTCAAAGCACACGCAACCAGATTTGTAAGACAACGAAAACGCTAGATGAAGCCTTGCTGAAAAGAGAAGATACAGTAAATATGCATAATGGAGTATTTTAATTCACTATAGGAAGAGCGAAACAGAGTTATTAACGAGCTAACTGAACAGAAACGGTTGCTTGAATCACTTAGTTTAGAGCTTCAAAATTTGAAAAAATACGATCCTGACCGCCTGTTGGAGCTGAAAGAACAAGAATTAGTAGCTCTTGATTCTGTTAATCGTTGGACGGGTAAGTTTATACATATATATTCCTTTCCATTAGTTAGATTACTTCGAATTACTAAAGAAACTAGAAATAAATAGATAAAACACTAAGTGTTAATGGATTCATGTGAGCTTCACCTGTGCATCCAATTAGTTGTAATCAGCAGTCTGGGTTACATCTTTATTGAGCCAATGTTAGCTCTACAAAATGAAATTAATATGAACACTAGTTAAAGAGTTAGTTTAATAACAGCGCCAATATTGGCAAGAAAGACTAAACACTGAAAAATGCATTTCAAATGGAAGAGTCAAAAGTACTAAGTAGCATTGGATTTCAATAGTGAACAGAAAATAAGGAGTAAATTCATCTGCATCCCTATGACTAATCGTGAGCCATTTCTATCCAATGATCACAATTATCGTGGAGACGCTGTCCAAATAATTTGCACCTATCTACAGGACTCAGTCTGTCAGGTTTTTTTTATTAAGGTTAAAATTGCGATTATTCAGAGAAAAGCTTGAGGTCATCCCTAAATTTTTATATTCAGGTGTCTAAGCCACAAATCAATAATCTTGTATTTATTTCACAAAACATCTAACTATATAACAGTTTCCTTTGAAAAATAACAATAATGTTGCTCGTCTTTGTTGGTGTTATGATAGAATGTAGTTTGAAATATATTACACATAGGTACATTCTTGTATCACATATCTACTTAACTGGCTTTGTCAACAGTTGTAGAAAGTCATGTTTATGGGAAAAAGTCAGCAAAACACAAGACCTTGGTATAATGTTTTACTTGTAACAGATCACGCATAAAATTTCAACCTAAATTAACGTTATTTGTTTATTATTTTCTCTCCAGATAATATATTTGTGATCAAGTCATGGTTAAATAACAAATTCTCGCTTGATGAAGCTACGTTTTGTCGCCAGTTTGAAATACCGGAAAATTTTGACTATATCTCTTAAACGTTCCATTTGTATTGTAGATTTCTTTGATAATAGATATTTTTTTATTCCTGAATTTTAAGTAAGAAAAGTAAAATAACTTACGTATAAAGAAAATAGATAATACAATGAGCAGAATTGTCTACCATATTACAAACTGGAATAATTTTTATTAATTAAGCAGATAAATTAGAGGGTTGTTCTGTCAGAATAATTTCATCCATTTTATCATGAGTTCCTTTATGGAGAAATAAACCGAAGTTAAAGGAATTTTCATAACTGTATGCTAAGGATAATATTAAGAAATCAGATTTTATTCAGTTGGTATACACTGCCATGAAAAATATGCGACGACTACGGTGAAGGGTTATTTGATGAATGCATCCTGTGGAACTAAACATCGGTGTTATTACATCCAAAGTAAAAAGCCGATAAACTGCCCTACGTCGCTTCATGTTCTTCTTAAAAAGTGTTAGTAGTAGCATATTCACCTTGGTTTTCTATTCACACCGAGAGAAAAAGTAGCTGTAATATATTTGGAATTCTATACTATACCTTCAAAAATGAAACCACACAGATATCTCAACCCCTTTATATTTGCTTCTAAAACTTCCAAAGAAGAAGGTTTTAGGTCTTCAAATATTAATAGCCTAAATCCTGAAGAAAGTTGGGACCAGACATGCGTCAGATAATTTGGTGATTCATTTACGTCTTAGTAAGAGAACAAGAACAGCCCACATAGACTGCTTTAGCTTTTTGGTAAACTAATTAACCTTTCCTGCCTGAATTACTATTCACAGATCAATTGACTTCGTAAGTTATATTCGCTTGAAATCTTGGTTTTTTTATTTGAATGTGTGCAATGCTTACTTATCACACATGTGGCCTATATTTTTCTGACTATAATTACTTAGTCATGCTTTATCACATTCAGTCGGATCACTTGCCTTCACCACTTTACGTTTATGTTTTTTTTAATATTTTCATGTCTGCCCGCATGAACCATTGCATAAAATAAACTCATCCAACTGAATCCGTATTCGGCTTTTCATTACCGCCGTCGCACAAACAAGGTTCATAAACGGAAATGGAAGGAAAGATTTATTTCATAGCATATTCAATTGTTCCTACAAATTCGGTTCAGATACTGGACCACTAAAAACTAATTGCTAAGTTAACCTTGCACAACATTCATACGAATCTTGAAAATTCTTGAATAAATCTACAGCCAAAATACGCAGCATAAAAATATGGAATTTCACAGACAAAAATTTAAGCAATGTTTATTACACATCTTAATTTGAATGCTGAATAATTTGTTTATTTTTTTTAATGAAAAAAATTCAATAATTAGCTAAATTCATTATAGAAGAAACACAATAAAGTAAAGTAAAGGGAAAAAAATAAACAGAATGAAACATTTCCATCACAAAATGTATCATTTGTAAACATTAGGAAAAAATGTATACTACATAAATGAAGAAAAGGAGACAGGTGGAGAAACAGAAATGAACATACTGATTGTGAATATATAAAGAGGTGTGATGCTCTCCACAAGTGTAATGAAGAAAGATACAACTATGTAATCAAATAGCAGGATCTAGTTTGTCTATCTGATGTAAGAAAATTAAAGTAACGCTTGAATTTGACTGATTCATTAATTTTATTACTAATTGGTAGTAATACAGTTTATTAGATGCAACTAAACAAGGTCATATTGCAAGTGGACAGTTTCAATCACACTGTATAGTTATGTTCTTGCAGTATACAGAAACAAAAGTGTTGGTACTGATTTCTTCTCGAGATTATTCAAAGAAATCAGGGTGTCATATATGAAAAAGAATAGTGGTGACTTTGTAACAAATTACAGACATTGGTGTGAATGTCACTGGATTATTCAAACAAGATTACACAAATTAAGAACATTTGCATATCAAACTTAAATATTCTTAATACTAGTGATATCATAATTGTTTTAGAAATACAAAGATATTTCTTTATCTGTAATATAGGAACAAATAAGGTCTATCACGATTAGTTTAATCATTCATTGGCAAGAAAACAGAAATGAATTAAAAATAATAATACAGTAAATTTGTATATCTTCTCATTTGCACACCTATGAAGATCAATAGATTTTTGGACACATTGACCAATCATGAGTTAATTTGTTCTCCCAGTATTTTCCAGTAAATATATAAGTTTCTTTATTAGTAACTTGATCGAATTCTTTTGTAAACCATAATGGTTTATGTTGACTATCAACAATATCGACTGGAAAAATTAAATTCATGCATAATAATTAATAAACTTGGTATTGAATTATGCGAAGCAGTATATATTAAATTAATAATGGAACTCAGTAAAAAAAAATTACAGACATGTTCACTCGGCTTTACGTCAGAACAGCGTTGGTGCATGTGCTTAGACTTGCAACCCGATACAAAATACATTAAAACAGAGTGAGATTCAACTTGAAAACCGTTAACTAAGAAGTTAAAAAGTCAGTCTAGACATAATATGTATTTGGAGAAATGGTATTTATTACTTCTTACGAAATTTGGAGTGATAAGAAAAAGATCCTTCATTTAAAACTTAAATATGTAGTGGAATAAGTCCTGTAAGTTACTGCTTATTACTACAGACACATCATGATATGGAATGTAAAACCCTTCCATACCATTTTAACTTGTTATAGCCAGTTAGCTGCTAAGTAGATCTAGGCGATTAATCAATCATGATGGTGAATTAACTCAGTCCGTCAGCTACAACGTAGAACTTAGTACGTGCGTACATCAGTCCAAGTTGCCATACCAAATTAGCACAGAAAGACAGAATTGTCAGTTCATATCCCACAGTGATTGATGTAGTAGCAATATTACTGGTGATAGAGTAAACGATCGAGAGGTACAATTCAGTGTAATAACTTTAGAAAGATAGAGGTGATGAAGAATTCATAAGATTAGGATTTGAGCGAAGACAAAGAATGGATGTATCTGCGCTACTGCAAACGATTTTGAGCCATTTCATTCAAAGTCTCTAACCACTAGTTACAACTGTCTTGCGGGTATGACTCTGCACACACTTGTGCCATGTTTTGATTTAGCCGCCGCTAGCTTTCTTCAAGCTTAACCCAACATAACAAAACATCGCTCGTCTAAGCAGTCGGTGGTTGGGCGTTCGTAACACATGTCCCAACCACCTCAACTAAAGGTTCACTACTTCATCTATCGATCTGCCATCCTTACCTAATGATCTTTTCCTAACAATAAATTGCTTACTCAGTGGTCCCAGGGTATACGAGCAACGCTTCGAAGACACCTATGATCGAAAGCCAGTAACATACGAATATCCTCTATTCTTAATGCCCATGTCCGTGCCAAGATTTCAGCAGACATCAGGACTGATGAGACTTGCAAGATAAGTGAAGCAGTCGGATTGACCAAATACTTTAATGTCTATAGGCTACAAACCAGTAATTTAACGTACACGTTATTTTATATGTGCTGTTGGGAATTTTCTCCGATAACAATATTGAAGCACCGAATTTTGAGTTCCAAAGACTAACACCAAAAACGAAAATTTTTGGTACATACGAAAGTGACATTAATGAGACGCTGACAATGATTACGGCATTCATGTAAAACAACAAACATGATATTTTTATGCCTACACTCTGAATCAACAAATAAGAACAAGGAGATTAAAAAGACTAAAAAGAAATTAGAAACCTATTAACGCTAGGGAACTTACGAAAGTTACTTGCAGATGAACTTGATGGACTGTTATATCGATCAGAAACAGAACTTTCATATTTATTATGCATATCGCTTGGTTCGTCTTGTTTGCTGGAATCAAGTGACTGAGCGGCTAACTCGGCAGCCATTTGACGTCTTCGTTGGCGCTGTAGTTCTTCGAGTTCTACCTTTGCTCTGTTAGCGTCGTCCCAACGACCAGCTTCCATAAGACGCTGATCAGGACGCAGACGAGAGTCAGTGGGGCAAACACCCTCCTCAGGTTCGTTCAGCTGTAATGCTAAACGTGTGAAACAATACATTCGTTCTGCATCAGGTGGTAAAGCATTACTTTGCCATAGAACACGTGCAGGTCCAGTTTCTAATACTGGTTTCCCATTGCGTGAATGTCTAGTACTCACTACAGGCGCATACTCGAGTGAATCGTCCCATGTACCATTTAAAACATACCGTACCTCACCAGACTTGTCAAGTACAGCACCTGTAACCTAGAACAAAGTGAAAACCAGTTTGGATGAGAAACAAATGACAATAGGCATCAAGCAAGCGTAAGCTTTGAAAATTCAAGTGAATAATTTTTATCAAATTACCTGTGGTATAAATATACCATTAGCAGTGCTAATTTGAAATAAAACAGTAGATAAGGCCGCCATTGTTGGAAATCAATAATAATTAGTCAACTGTGTTTTTCGAACACGGATGGCCCACAATCGGAAGCACGAACTGTCATACTAGAAAGCCTCTTTTCGTGTGATTTATGAAAATAACGAAGATGTCAATAAAGGATAACTGTAGGACTTATCTACAATAAATCAATGACTTATTTTAAGTCAACTGGAAGACAGGTGGACGAATTAACTAGACAGCAACCAGTCATTGCTAAACCCTGAACTTTAAGGTCGAAACTCAGCAGCTGACTTTTATGTACTACAGTCAATATGGTGTTTGTTATACAACCTGAAGAGTAATTCACGACAATTCTCTGACGAAAATTCAAGAATTATCATTCATCCCAGTCTTAGTAGAAAAAGAAACACCAGATTTTGTCGCGACATTTTACATAAAATGTTTATCACTATTTGCCGACAGTTTTCTAAAAAAATTCATATGAATACGAAATAGTATAATATTTTTTTTTTAGAATTCAAACTCTGTTATGATTATTGACCTGCCCCCCCCCCCGCTAAACAATAATACTCAAGGGATCAATTTGCAAAAAACAACAACTCACCCGACGTGGTTTTTCATTAGAAAAATATGAATAAGGTTTGTAAGAGAGATGACATTTTTCACCTGTATTATGATTGATAATATCCATTTCACCGCTATTATCAATCCATAAACGTCCAACAATGATATTATGTACGGTTAATGGGATTTTATGCCATGTATAATGATGACCTGTACGACGGAATACTAAATGACATGTACCAACTGGATTAATTTGTAAATATTTACCACGAAATTTTGTTGTCATGGAAAAATCGAACCAACAATACCATGCATTACTTTCACAATGTAATGCGCATGCTGGTGGATGATGACTAACCTATATATATATATATATATAATAGATTGGATCAATAGAAGAAGCAAATAAATCAAAACAACACATTCATAATAACTATCAAACATGGTAATCATTATTTTTTTTACTGCTCAAGAACACAGAACAAACTTTTTTTTAAAATTTTAGTCTGATAAATTGTTTAACAATGAAAAAAAAACAAACAATGACAAATTAATTGACGAGTTATGTGTAAAGTTTGCTTGTACTGAAGTTACTCTACTCTATTTAACAGTAAGTATAAGCTGTAGATTATACTTTATAAACTAGTTCGTACTCCACTCCACTCCACTTGATACATGTGGAAGCGACCAACAAAGTTGAGGATATCAAAAAATTGAATTGATTGTTTAGCTGAAGAAAAAAAATGAAACTTTACTGTCATTCAAATGTAGTCTTTGAGGAGGAAATTCGGGAAAAAGCGTTGGAAGTGGACCGGACACATTGTAGAAATCACGAGAGAACACCTAACCTGACAAGGAGATAGACTCAAGAACATATTGAACGGAGAATTGGAGACAAGATATTAAAAGAATAAATAGCGATTCAGTAGAATTGGAAAGGAAGTTCCAGGAGAGTTAGTTGCAAAATCTTGGTTGGCGTCCCATGCTACACATTAGGAGTAACAGGTTTTAGTCAGTAAAATTATGGTTTTAAAAATGTTCGAGAGATTAAATGATTAAACACAGATGTATACTAAAGTGTGCTAAATAAAGTTCTGAAATGAATGATTTTCCACAGTGAAATTCAAATCATCTAAGGTAGTGATATATTAAGTTGATAAACAAGGCAGCATAGAACACATCACGAGTAATTAAATTAAAACAGTTAAAGTGTTATTAGTTCTTTTTATTAGGTGGTAATGAAATATAATATTTGTAGGTTTGTCGATGATCAATGAGGATAGCTAACATTGCTTTGTAAGTAGTACAAAGCCTGCTATGACAATATGATCAATATGCTTGACTGGTCACAATATAAATTGTGCAAAACATACAACCTTAAAATTATTTACAATAATAACAAAACAATAATTGAAATGATTATTAAAATGAATCAATTGTTTGTCTAATAAATGTATCGTTATTACCACAGTGACCTAAATTACATTTTCATTTTGTTAGTAAACGGGAAACCATCACAGTAAATATATATTATAACCATAGCATATTCATTTTTAAAAAAAGGATAGAATTTATGTAATAATCTGACAGAAAATAGCCAAGTATAGGGAGAAGTTTCATAAATCACACAAAAAATAATCAAGACAGTATAATATCAAAAAAAAGTACAAATCATACAACATATGGTTGGAAATATCATATTGTTCGTATTTCTTGACTAAATATATAACAACATAGAAGATTCGTTTTCTGATGGAGACTATACATTGAAATCAATGAGTTTATCGACCACTTGTTTATACAGTAAAAAAAAAATCATTTATTATCAATTATTTGGCATACAATGAGAAAAAATTAAACAACCCAAAATAACTATCACGCATTGTAAATGAGAAATCATTCAAGAAATAAGTACAGTATAAAAGTTTTTTTTTTTTGAATTTCAGTGGAATAAAAATTCTCTAACTTAGACGTGCTTATCTTATAGAAAACAAACAGCACAGAAATATTTCTTTTCATTGAGTTTATTATTTTCATTGCAACATACTAACCAATTATGTTTAAGAATGATCGATAATAATCGATACCAGTTAGGCAGTTGAAAAGAATAGCAAAATTTACATACATCAACAATAGTCTAGTGTGTTTATCTGAAATAGGTACTATAGAAAAACAGTTAAACAGATATTCGATTTTTGTTGACACTAATATTTGAATTCTCTCTTTTAAAAAAATATTTAATTAGCGTATACATTGTTTTTTTTAAAAAAAAAGTGACTATTGAATGATGATCAAAGTTCAATAATATGGAATTTGAAAAGAAGTTGAATTTAACAAACATTAACTAAAAACTATTTATACTTCGAAAATGAATGAATCACAAGAAATTGAATGCAACTCTTTCATTATATATATATATATATATATATGCAGTGGTAAATACCCAGATGACATTTCAGTGACCAATATGTAACAAGGACGAGATAACTTGCTTGAAGGATGGTTCAATGCTAACGTCCCCTACTGATATGCTTGAAACAATTAAAAGTTCACGGAATGAAGACCAACGATGCGATGACATGATAGGCTATTCTAATCGGATTGTCCCAGGTGCCACTAAATAAAGGAAGAAGTCTTGCTAAGAGGTGGAGAGAATGTAAACACATGCACCCAGAAAATACGATGTCCACAAGCAAACAACTCAAGTTTATTTATACAATGGTAAAACTCCCTTGGTGAGAGGCACAAAAGTGTACTAAAATAATACATTAAACAGTCACGGATTTTACGAATGGGAAATGTAAGCGGAAGGTCAACTAAGCGTCTTTGGCGCGAAAACGTAAAATTTCAGAAATAAATTACAAAATTGAGAGCTTTTTCAAATGAGTCCAGGGAATCTAACCTCCCCAACACCTACCGAAGACCCATTACCACCAGTCCAAGATTCATAACAATATTTCAAACTTTCTTTCATATACGCATAAAACAAGACCACATCGCAACATTAATGGAAACTTACAACTGCACATGAGTGAGCCAAAAGTAGATGTGAGAAATGATGGCCGGCGGCCTCACTAGTTTTGTGGCGGTCGGTATCTGATAGGTTTTTAGACTTAGTATACTGCTTGTTCATACAACCGTTACTAGATAATGCCTCACGCTTTACAAATCATAAGAGGAATACGAACTGTTGAATGTGCTTATCTATCGCACCAAAAATAGACCACTCACACACACCACAGACATACGAAGCAAAAATGATATGCGAGTGCCGAAGAGCAAGCAAACGAATTAGCGAATACGATTAAAACGCACATAAATATACATAGGAATGAATATGCACATAAGCGATAAACAATGTTCAATCATACTTCATCATACAAACGTGACAATAATAAAAGCACAATGATACATATCAGTTATTGCTATACAAATGACTCAGTTAAATAAGTTAATCAAAAAAGGCTTAACCACAAATTCAATATGAACAAACTCAAATGTATGTAGAGGTACACACTAGTACACTCTTAACAAAAGAGGAACATTAGGTCGTATGGGGTTAATACAAAGTTACAAAGTTTATAATAAGATGAATAATATTCAAAATGATTATTAATCATACAATTAATCTATATGCATTCAACAGTCTATAAGATTAGCTAGCTGTATAAGGTACTATTCACTTTAGTCTTTATCTGGATATGATGATGTATACTTGTAAATAAATTTCTTAGCTCAAAATCAATACGAAATCAATGGTGATAGGTCAAATCAACAATGTCTGTCTGTCTCAATATTTTCACCAATCTTGATGATAACATACAATATGTTGATATCAGTGTAAAATTGAAATAAGTTTACACAATCAGTCATATAAGAATAAGAATCGAAGTTGAATAAATTTAAAATTCAATTCAGTGATCGTTTTTTGAAAATAATCACGAGTCATTTACTAGGATGGGTACAAATAAAAATGACACCATTAAATTCTTGAAACTGATTACGTAAGAATTAAAATTTGGGTAGAAAAAAAATATTGGTTTTTGAGAAATGTAAGTGTAGCTAAAAGCAAGAGGTCAGGGTGAATGAATAAACTGCAACAATCTGTTTCAGTTTCAAGAAAAAAAAAGAGGTTCACTTTAATGTGTATTGTGTGTGCTGTGGCTTTCATTATTCTATGCAACATAGACATTCTACCAATAATCATAGATTATTAAACTGAACAGAATTTTATCGAAAAATTTTGTGAGTTAAATAAATAATTTATGTAGATTATTGAATGATGGAGCAATGAAGAGTGCTGCTGCTAATGATTTTCTTTGATCTTTCCGTTAACTATGAAAGATGATACTTTTAAAGAAATACCATGATGTATTTTTGTCTAGTTACTTGTATACTCAACATAACTCTTCTATTTTATAATAATTTTATGGGAATTGAAATTTTAGAAAAAATGAACATTTTAAAAAAAAATTTATTCAGAAAATAGCTTCTTGATTTTAAATAATTCTAGTGTACATTTTCTCTCATACACTGGTCATGCAAACGGTGTGAGCATAATTTAAGGCATAGTTACATGATTCGAGCAGAAAAAAAAAGATTCAGAAATTTGAACAAAACCAAGAAGGATAAAAATTTTATTTATCCAAAATAGATATTTTTTCAGTTGAATTTTTTAAAATGTATGCTTTTATGGGTATGAGGGAGGATGTTATTTCCCGGCTGCCAACAACGTGGAAAGGTTCTGGTTGTAATTCATTCTTTGCATTCACTGAAATCATAAACTACAGTGTTGCTCATCACCTGTATCTTTTTCCTTCTAAGTTTAGTTCACTAGATTCTACTTCTTGAATAATATCCTCGAACCCTGATCTCCCCGATTACTGCTAATACTTTTACTACCTCTACTACAATGGGATTTGAGTTGACAATTGCATCTCTAAGCTAATGTGATATGGCAACTTGAATTGATGCACGTACGTACGAAGTTCTACATTGCTGTCAGTCAGTCAGTCAGTTGCAACGTAGAACTTCGTACGTATGTACATAAGTTCATGTTGCCATACCACATTAGCACAGAGACGCAAATGTCAAAACCAATCCCATAGTGATAAAGATTGTAGAGGTATCAATGGTAATGAAGAAGATTAGGGTTTGAAGATATTATTCAAGAACTATAATTCAGTGAGATAACTTTAGAAAGACAAAGGTAGAGGTGCTGACGAATCCAGAAGATTAGGATTTAAGAGAGCACAAAGAATGGATGCACTTGCGCCATTGCAAACGATTTTCAACCATGTCGTTCACAGGGTCTCTAACCATCGGTGACTTTCATGTCACGGACCCCAAGCAGGTAGGTAGCCTACATCTATCTACCAACATGAGTCAATCCGCTTGTCAGTGACTTCATGGATTTCTGCCATGTTTTGATTTGGCCGCCCCTAGCTTTCTTTCAACCTACTCCCACGCCGCAAAACATAGCTCGTCGAGGCAGTCGGTGGTTAGCCATACGTAACACATATCCCAACCACCTCAACTGATGAAGTTTCATTACTTCATCTATTGACCTGCCATCCTTACCTAGCACCCGTTTCCTAACGACAGCATTGCTTACTCGGTTGTCCCACGATATACGAGCATTGCTGTTGATTGATTGATTTGTTAAAATGAAATCTCTTAGTGTTCATTTGTTGTCTCATATTTGATAATATCAGAGCACATTGAATCTACTACGAGAGAGAGATATTTTGAATGAGGGTTAGTGATGCTACTTGACTGCTTAAAACAAAATAGCTGAACTACAGTGTAAAATCGTTAGAAAATGATTGAAATCTAAGTGTTGTAACCATTACACCATCTTAGACCTTGAAGACTCAAATTTCTTCTAACCAACTCTTCCGAAAAATATAATTTGCACTTAGGACAAGAGAAACATATCTCAAACATCCACTGTTATTGAAGTAATTTATAAAACCCATTTGTTAGCATATTTGACAACTATAACTAAAAAGGAAACATACCTGTTCAGCAAATGATCTCCAACCAAAATCATCAGTTCTGTCACATTCATATGTTTCACCCAATAAAGGATTAAATGGTTTGTTTGTACGTACTGCAGTTGTAGCATAAGCGGATACAGTAAACGCAGCCACATAGGCCATTTGTTCCAATGAGTCTTGACATGCAGCAGCTCGATCTAAGCATGAAGAGTACTCGAAATCTTCCGTTAAACGTTGTAGCATTGATAAAGGTTCACTGAAATTCACCTGAGAAATATGAAAAGATTACGTTGTTATTACATGCAAATCTATTATTTATGTAATATTTTGAAACACCAACTATTTATGCCAAAAAATAAAAAATAAAAATGTGTAATTGACTTAAATTTTAATTGAAAATTAATATTAACAATAAATTATTCAGTGAGATATTTTCCTCTGTATATATATCAAAATCAATGAGATAAAATCCAGGTAAATTTATTTATCCTTTGAAAGGTTATCATTACTAATGATGTGATTTAACTAATAACACAAGGTATGAACGGAAATGTATCATCGGTGTATACACAACATAAATAAAAAAAATAATAATAATTTGTAATTCATATGTCAGTCAGTCAGATGCAACGTAGAACTTTGTACATAAGTACATCAGTTCATATTGCCATACCACATCAGCACAGAGATGTAATTGTCAATTCAAATCCAATAGTAGAAGAGGTACTAAGGGAATTAGAAGTAATCGGAGAGGTTAGGATTAAAAGATACTATTCAAGAAGTATGATTCAGTGAGAAAAGTTTAGATAGTCGAAACTAGAGGTGTTGAAGAATCCAGAAGATTAGGATTTGAGAGAACACAGATGTAATTCATACTTATTGCTGCATATCCAAACAAAAAAACAGAATGTTCATAGCCTCTTAGATAAAAATGTCATTGAAAGTGATGCACTAGACTAAAAAGTCAATAAAGGAACTCAAGAAGTAAAACGAAAACGTTTTAAATAGTAAAACTATTCGATGTGAAATTTTACACCAGGTTTTAGTTTTAATGATTTTAAATATCTATTAAAAAGTAGATTAACAAAAGCCATAGATACATTTTAATCAACAGATTTAATGAGTTTTATGTACTAACTACTAATTTTCTGACTATAAATACTATAAAATGATGGACAAGACTACTTATATTGTTTATTCTCCCTATTAGCTAACGAGAGTGAAAAGTTCAGTCCTCTTTTTTTTTGTTTACAAAAGCTTTTTTTTTTAAATAAGATAGCATGTTAATAATTTAGTGAAATGTCAACTCTATTCAGTGATTATTCATTACAAAATTTTATGTTCACTGAATAATTATCAGTGAACATAAAATCACAATGACATAATCAATTCGAGAAAATGCATTGAAAATCAAATTGAATCAATGAGTAGAATTTATTCTGAATATGTTATTGCAATTAAAATGTGTTAAATGTTGACGAAATGAAGATCATACCAAAAACACGCCATGAAAAAATTAAAATTAATTTTGTCCCATAAATATATTGTATTTGCAATATCATTCATTACCTAGTCTTCAATCACTGCTAATATTCAGTTCAACATTTATTTATTGGTTACAAAACGATCTTGTGAATCTTCTGATAATAACATGCAAGATATAGATTTATGCTGTTTCATGAAGAAAATGCACTTTTTGTTGTGTGTGTATTTAAACTGTTTAGTTTTCAGTGATTTAAAGAATAAGGACAGATAGAATGGTAAATCAATAATGTCATACTGATAAATTCGCCACCTTGAGGAAATATAACCGAAGTAACTGCTACCAACAGATTTGTTGAATACTAAGATCTAAGCTCCATTGAGAAAACTACTAAGTAAGGAAAGTATAATTATGATGGCTGCAGTTATTATTTGACCTTTGCAAAGAGGACATCTATTCCATAAATTCAAAAGAAGCATCATGAATAAGCTGTAGAATTCAAAGAAACCGAGTTCAACAGCTATTTTATATATATTTTATATAACTTTTTTGATGTTTTTGTAAATCCTAAGCCAAAATTAATTGTCTCTAGTTCACTGATAGTTTATTTCAGATCAAAGTAACTTTTAATTTACTTATGACAAGGTTATTTGAAAATTGAATGTTTATCAAAAATGCTGACCTAGAAATAAAACATTTCACTCAAAGGTATGATCAGTTATATTTGTACAGGTTTTAGCAATTTACCGATTCCCCATTTTTTGTGTACGGTCTATTCTTATATCCCTTAAGACTTGATAGGAACAGTGCAACAAAATATACGAGTAATTAGACAAATTGAATCAGTAAAATGACAAAGAGCTCACTTCGATTAATGGCAGTTAACTATAATAATTAGGGTGAATAAACAGGAGCTGGTCAACAACCGAATGAAATGAATTAAACAGCACAATTAAGACAGATATCAAACATAGCTTATAGCCCTTAATACCTATAAAAAAGTTTTACTCTAAGTACTTTTATAAAAAAAAAACAGATCGATTCGAAATAAAACAAAAATCGGACATAGTATGAATGACTCATAAAGAGGTAACAATTTAGTAGGAGTGGTGGAAATGAAACTGGTTTATCAACAAAGGATTTTAGAGACAGAGTATGAAAACAAGGACTGAGTTGAACTGAAGAATAAGTGGAGTGTAACAGATATACCTAATGCGAAATTGATTGTTAATGTGAAGTATTTACAGAATAGTACACTTTAGCTCTAAAACCACAAGTTTAAATTTTACCTTGATTATCACAATATGAAATAATACGAAAAAAATATTATAACTAGCAAAAAGAGAAATCAATTTATAAACAATCGTCATTTTCACTAGAATAAGCATATCACAGGGATGTTTAGTGTAATGTCCTGAATCTAGTTTATTCAGAGGCTAGAAAAATGATATTTTATTTTGTCGACAAATTGTACTTCAAGTAACTTTGAACAGACTGCTCAACTAATATTCGTAAACACAAGATGCACGAAAATGGTTAACCTCATACACAATAAAACCTTCCGCGTGATTCAGTTTGTGTCACCTAAGCCTACAGTTGACTCATCATCTCTATCATTTTCTTTCTAAAGTTATCTCATTGAGTTATACTTCTTGAATCATATCTACGACCCCTAATCTTCTCCATTACTGTTAATTCTTCTTCTATCACTACCAATATTGGATTTGAACTGACAGTTGCGTTGTGGGGCGCGCTACTTATAAGTAGTATATGACGCGAGTAAAAACGTAATGTCTGGCAGCAGAAGATGGGGAAGATCATGAAAGGAAGAGCGGGAACTCAATGGGATTTGTATGAAACGCATGAACAGTGAAATGTCAGACAATGGATTGATGTTTTGCAACAGGAACAGTCCAGTTCGATATGATGGATTGATATATTTTGCAAATTAACGATTTACGATATGGTTTTCCTATTTTACCAATTAACTCTGTAATTTGAGATAAATACAATTCGGTTGCCTTCACCTGTGTTCTCCTTCACTACATCGTCTCTGTGCTGATGCATGTGTGGCAACCTGAACTGATGTACACTAATATACGAAGTTCCATGTTGTAACTGATTGACTCATCAATAACATAGTTTACATGAGTTATAGCAGACAACAAGCTAATACAATAAGACAATATGAAATTAATAAAAAAAATCGAATAAATCAATTTAAAAAAAACAAACTCACAGGCATAGGGATTTTTGTCAATTCTTTTCCAATACAATTTTTCATAATACTCCATAAATTCAAACTGATATTTGGTTTCGGTGGTATAGACATTCTTCTTACAATAGGCAAACGTTTTTTAATTACATCCAATTCGGAATTAGTTTGTGAATGACTACAACGATTATCAGATTCACCAGTTGTAGTTAAATCCTGTGTCATTTGACCGTCACCAGATGAAACTAAAGTACCTGATCGACTATTTATTAATTATATTGTAAGTGGTGGTAGATAAGAAAATGAAGAATTCAGGAAATAATATTACAATGAACAAGTTGTACAGAAAATTTACACATGTTTACACACAGATAGATATTAATGATGAGATGTTAAGAAAAACAAAAAAATGTAGTTGATTTGATTTAGCATTGTGTTAAACAACTTAAGTTGATTTTTCATCTTTCTTTGACAGAAAAGCAGAAAAAAAAATGCAACCATCATCATCATCATCACATGATCTGCTGCAAAGATCATTTGATGAGAAGAATTATTAAGTACTAACAAAACTGTGTAGTTTATGTTCAATAATAACTACTACAGTAATAATTAGTAATAATATTGACAAATCATATTCATGTTTTACTCTACTATATATATATAGTTAGAAATCACAATGAAAAGTATGCCAGTAAATGCAATTTGGGGGCAATGAAGACAAACAATTGATTTGAAAATGATATTCGACAATTGTACAAGAATGATGTACAAAATCCTTTCACATATTTATCAAATTAAAAACGAAACAAATCTTCGAAATTCAAAGTAAACTCTAGATAAGCTTTACTACTTTATCTAATGGTTTGTTTTAGGTTGTTTACCTCTTTACTAAAGAGTCAATAATAAAATAAAACCGGCAGAAAACCAAATACAAAGTAATATTATCAGAAAAACAAACAAGACAACATTGTATAGCTCTCTGTATAGTGTCTATCTATTTTTTTACACCTTTCAGTCAGTCAGTCAGTTGCAACGTAGAACTTCGTACGTAAGTACATCATCAGTTCATGTTGCCATACCACATCAGCACACACAGAGAAGTAATTGTCAATTCAAATCCAATAGAAGAAGAGGTAGTAAGGGAATTAGAAGTAATCGGAGAGGTTAGGATTAAAAGATACTATTCAAGAAGTATGATTCAGTGAGAAATTTTACACCTTTCATTTTTTAACAAATCAATTCAGACATTAATTCTGTATTTGCATTCACATAAATTCAATAGATCGAAGTTACATGATCTAGTACAACATAACAAAAGTCATTCACAGACTAATCGATATATGTTGGTGAAGAAATTCACTGAATTAATTAATTTCAGTTCTTATTATCAAATTTTTCTTGACAAATTGATTCTCAGTTAAGCTGTATTAATAATTGTTTAATAAATAATCTTTCATATTTCTGACCTTGAAATCATTTTCATCCCCATGTTCTCTTTCTTATCTTCTAAGCTCTCTGGGTCATTAAATAACTATTTCATTTTGATATTCGAAATCTTTAGCAAATTCGCAATGTAATCTTTTCTATAGACTTAAATATTTTATCAAACCATTTGTAAATACAAATGTACAGCTTGAGCAAATGATTTTGTTAAGAAGGAAATTTTCTTAGATGGGTCATCGTTATGTTTTTTTATTCAATGACACAATGGGTTACTTTAAATCATTGTCAGTTTATATAAAACCTTAAAATTGAACAAAAATAAAACTAATATTACTGACCAATGTTTATATTCAACTAAAAAATGTGTATATTGTTTTGATAATATTAACATTTTAATAGGATATTTGGAAAATCGAAAATGAACCGATAAACCTAGTTTTGCTGGAAAAATTTATTTTTAATGTAGGAGTAAGTGAGTGAAATTCGATTTGAAATGGATTTTTTTGTAAAAAAAAAAACAAAAAGATTATTACGATGTGTGAAAAAAAGAAAATCAATTTTGGATTGTGACAAAAATTGTGAACTGAATCAACCGTGAAGGTTATTCGATTAAGTTAAACCAGGTAATAATGTTCTAATTAATCTATGAACAAATGACATTCGAATGATCAAGATGCAATAATTAATAAGTGTAGAAAAAAAAACTGTAATTATACAGAATATTTTAAAAGTGGAACAACTATTAACGGTGATTGCCATAGATTAAAGTAAGATTAAGTTTGCATGACGGGAAAGAAACAAGTTTATTGGTTAGATCTCAATTTCATTGACATATAATGAGTGGAATACAAACAAATACATATATAACTCTAAATCACTTGTTTCAAATAATAGATATTGGGAGGTGTAAGAACGATTTGATTTTGACCAATTTGGTCTCTCGTGCTGTCACGGGTATGAGGGCGGTTGTCACTTACCCGCTGCACACACCGCGGAAGGTTGTTTCTTGAGGAACCTGAGAAGGAAGATAGATTAGTGTTGGTCTTGGAGACCTGGGAGCGTGACCGCAGAGTCCAAAGGACAACTGATTGAGGCCGGTTACGCACGGCCTTTTTATGAAAGGTTTTTTGAGTATTAGCTCCACTCTTGAAAGCCCTCAGTGGGCACCCTTACCCAAGGAGACGGAAATCTGTGAGGTAGGGTGAGGTGTGACATTTTTAGGGTCAAACTTTTCTAACACTTCCTTCCTTCCTTGAGAGAAGGCAGCATCGCTGCAGATGCTGGTTGTCCGAAGGAAATACCTTACTGCTGTCACATCCCTCTGCAGTCAGCAGTACGACTTCGCCCTCAGACCTGGAGTAGCTGCTTTTAGTCTCATGGTTCTCCAATCGACCTGCCTTGCATGGTAGAACCTTCAGGAGCATATGTTCCAGCCAGTATAGCTCGTTTGGGTCATCACGATAGGCAAGCTGGACCACCACGTCAAGGTAGCAGCTACGGTCGGGGATAGCTACTTTAATTGAGTGTCATTATTTTGTGCGTGGATATGGCTTTTTGATATGAAAATACCCACACTTCTGACGTTTGCATTGGTAGTTCGTTTGACGTTTCAGAATCAATAATTCGGTTACGTGAAGAGTTGTCGTTATCAAGTGGCGATACCATTTTATTACACATGTTTTTAACTCAAAAAGTCGGTATCATTACAAGCTTACAAACTTATAGCCCAAAAACAACTATTACTGCATTTACCAATCAAATTTCAACAGACAAACATAATATTATAGTGAAATAAATTTATAGATCACAGAGACTTGTCTTCAATTTTAATCCTACTCACCTTCGTTTGATGATATAATAAAATTGATTTTTCAAAATTTCTGTTATAATAAATTATTTTAAACTAAACTAAAGTATGAATAGTGGTGATAATTTAATTTATTAACTGTTATAGTTTATGGTATAAAACAATATACTGACCAAACATGAATACGAAATAGGAATAGGCAACGAAAAAAAATTAAAACATAATATTTAAAAGTAATTGGCTGTAATAATCAAAAACTATTATATTTTATATCGTCCCCCTCATCTTAATGGAATGTAGAAAACTACACAGAATCTGCATATCACACTAATATAGTAGCACATCGAGAATAAAAAGTAAGCGTAGGCACCTTAAATGCATAAATATGTAGTGAAGAAAATGTATTCTACCAAAATAACTATAATACACAATTACAAGGAATGAAGATCAAGATCAATGAGGATTGTATGATTAACCTAATTGATGAAATTTTGAAAAAAAAAGTCTTACATCGAGAACAACTACTATCATGTAATCAATAAAACGAAATTTTCAAGTTACCTTTCACATCGCCTACTACGAGGTTGTATAACTCGTGCTTCACGTAGTTTTCCGAATTGATTCGATTGTGAATTCTGATCAGTATATTCATCCGCTTCATCGTCAGTGAAGCCTACATCAGATTCATATTCGTCAGCTATATCAGAACCAACAGGTATCATAGAGTCATCATCTTGAGAATTGCTTAAACTTGTCTGATTATCATTCGATTTGTTACTAGCCAAATTTCCACAAGTTTTTCTAGGATCTTTGCTCCCATTATTTTTTGATTCACTTGGTGAAAGATCAGGCAAAGTGATTGAAAATTCAGAATTAGCCTCCTCTGCATCATAAAAGTCATCATCAGAGGTATCTTCATTATGATGAGAGGAACGTTGTTGAATAGGTTCCCTGGAGTGAGAAAAATGATGGGTGGACGATTCAGATGAGCTTATAGACTTTGCTGTGGCTTTCGAAGAATCGCCAGGACATGTATTTGATATTTCGTTACTAACAGTAGATGCTGTAGTATTTTGAGTAGTATCCAGTGCAACAGTAGCGTTTTCTTTCTGAGAATGTGCCTCAGTGTGTGAAAGGTGCTGTACACGGACCGCTTGGCCAGGCGGTCGGCAAAAAGCTTTGATATTCAGAGATGAATTAGTAGTTCCACCTAATTTGAAAATATATAAGAAAAGGGGTGTGACTGTACAAAACAAGACGTTACAAGGACAGACCGAAAATTGATTGTTTTGAAACACATTTTAACCAAACATTTTGTACTATATTATTGATATGCAAAGGAAAACCAAACTGAGTGAAATCTATACCAAACAAAAACTGTTGTCAGTAGGTATAAGTGATTAAATAACTGACAGATCTTCATGTTACTGATGAAAAACATAGAATAATATTTAAAACTTAAACTTTGCTGAGTTGCATGAATTACTGAAACGAAATAACTAATACATCACTATTCGATGAACGATAGATTCATTGTAAATCGAAAACTGTCCATGATTCGATTGTCTTAAATCAGCTGGCAATTTCGGAAGCAGAATTTATTTAGAATCAATAGAATGTGGCTAGCAGTGGGATCCAGGACACGCGTTCCAGCTCCTTTAGGACTTGTCAGCTGAATGCACCTGCATCTCAGAGAGTTGATGCTCACTCCAGGAATCAAACCCAGTACCGTTTACTTCAAAAGCCACTGCGTTACTCACTCAACTACTGAATCCAGTTAGGCACTCACATGTGCGACGAATATGAAATTCAATTCAACGTTAAATGGTTTGAACCAACCCGTTGTTGACATTTTGACTGAAATTTGATTTTGGTTGACATGTGAGCATCCCACGCGAACTACCTCGATATAGGCACTATAAGAAACATTCTATTTAAAGTTTTTTCATAACTGCCCTATCGAGACAAATAACATAGCATGCCCATATTCCCATCAAGACTGATCAAACTTCAGTCAAAATAGCAACAAGATAATCTAAACAATTCCAAATCGAATCAAAACAGAATTTGTTCTACTGATTCATTCTGAAGTCGAAAAATTACATAAGAAAATGTAAACATAATCATGAGCGTCTTCTTAGGTTGAATGTTCAAAAAATACTTGTTATTAGACACCACCACTTTATAATAGAAGTATATCTATCAAATAAAAGACATTAGTCAGAAAAACCGATTGGCATTACACTTTTGAAAGAACGGTTTTGACTTAAATAAAAGCATACTTCATCTAGACTGGTTAGTGTTTTTCAGCAAGTTAGTTTTCTACAGAATGAGGTCACTAAACCCAAGACCAATCCTCCATTATCTGAGCTTAAAACCGATAGTAACCCTAGAAGGACTTAAGGATTTCAAGATAGTTCTCAGTAATCAGTTTCAGGCCTTTTACGATCTACTCAATGGAGAAACTACCACAGTGAACAATTGAAAACGAATCAAACAGACAATAACTACAGCATACATTGAAGCTTTGGACAACAAGAACCAATATCACAAGAGATGTATCTTTGTTGGTTCTCTGGATATAATTCAAGAGAGGAAGAACAGGAAAACATCAACAAGCAGGTGAAGAGGGAAAAACGTAAATATTCGGAAGATATAGCAATGAGAGAAGAAGAGGTTGCAGGAGAAGGTAATATGACACGAGACTACGAAGCTCGCTAGGAAATATAATTACTCAGAACGACCATCCAAAAACGATAACGACAAAGCAATTACCGACAATCGAGAACAGCAAGACAGGCGCTAGGTAAGGATGGAAGATCAATAGATGAAGTAATGAAACTTCATCAATCGAGGTCGTTGGGACATGTGTTGCGTATGCCCAACCACCGACTTCCTCGCCGAGCTTTGGTTTGCGATATTGGAATAGCTTGGACGAAAGCTAGGGGCGGCCATACCAAAACATGGCAGAAATTCATGAAGTCACTGACTAATGAACTGAATCATGTTGGTAGATGTAAGCTACCTAGTTGGAGTCCGCGAGACGAAAGTTACCGATGGTTAGAGACCTTGAACGACATGGCTCAAAATCGTTTGCAATGGCGCAGGTACATCTACTCTGTGTTCCCTAAAATTCTAACCTTCTGAATTCCTCATCACTTCTATCTTCCTCTTGCTTAAGTTAGCTCACTGAATTAATCTTCTTGAATAGTAATCTTCGAATCCTAATCTTCTCCATCACCGCTAATACTCCTATTATCTATACTACTATGGGATTTGAATTGACACATGCATTGAGAGATATAAATAGGTTTATGTTCAAATCAACCCCTTTTTTATTACAGAGTGATCGGATAGTTTTAATTTTAACTATCGAACAACAACCAAAAATAATAACGGATTAAATATAATATTATGTATGAAAGGTGAAGCAAATATTACATATTAGCTAACCTTCTATTCTATGTGTACATATAACGTGAAACACGCGAAAATTTGGTGGAACCCACACATTTTAAATCATGACATTAATAATTTTAAAGAATTACATTATTATTTCTGAAAGCATAGTAAGAAAATGTTATGTGATGTTTTGAGATATCAGATGACGTTGCAAAAAGTTGACATGATTTGACCCACTACATTATCACTAAATACTTATGATATACGGATAGATCAGAAATCTAAATTCGACTCTTTTTTTCAATGACTATACTGTTCGATAAAGTCATCTTGTATCATTTATATAAATAATAATGTCAAAAGAACAGAAAAAAAAGCAACTTAAACTCAAAATCAAAAATGATCTATATTACAATCACATTAACGAAATAATTCACAGGTTCAATAGCTAAAATATATTAAACAAAGATTTTTTTTCTCAGATCAAGAAGTCTTACGTTTAACTATAAAATTAAAATACAAAGTTTAAAACAATTAGTCCCTTTAATATATTTTGATAAAACAGTAGAGTAGACGTAATTGATCTAAAAAAAAAATGTGATGTATTTGCGCGCTAAACAGAAAGTTCAACGGATGATAAATTTGTTACATACTGGTGACTGATAAAATCTCAGCACGGATACAGAAGGCTCGATTGGCTTTTGCCAACCTGCGTCACTTGTGGCGTAGGCCAGATATCCGTTTGCTAACCAAAGGACGAGTGTACTGTGCAGTAGTTTGCTATGTCCTACTATATGGATGCGAAACATGGCCGGTAAGAGTAGACAACATTCGTAGGTTATAAGTATTCAGTTATAGATGTCTTCCGAGCATTGCTCGAGTATCGTGGGACAACCGAGTAAGCAATGTTGTTGTTAGGAAACGAGTAATTGGTAAGGATAGTAGATCGACTGATGAAGTATTGAAACTTCATCAGTTGAAATGTTTGGGATATGTGTTACATGTGCGCAACCACCGACTGCCTCGTCGAGCTATGTTTTCCTATGTAGAATTTGGTTGGAGGAAAGCAAGGGGCGGACAAACCAAAAGTAGGCACAAATCTATGAAGTCACTGACAAGTGGACTGAGTCATGTTGGTAGATGTAGACTATCTGGTTGGGGTCAGCGAGACGATAGTAACCAATCGTTAGAGATCTTGAACGACATGGCTCAAAACCGTTTGCAATGGCGCAGGTTCATACACGCGTTGTGTTCTCTCAAATCCTAATCTTCTGGATTCGTCAACGCCTCTACCTTTTCCTTTCTAAACTTATCTCACTGAATTGTACTTCATGAATAATATCTTTGAACCCTAATCTTCTCCATTACCAGTAGTACTTCTACTATCTCTATCACTATGGGATTTGAATTGACAATTACAACTTACGTACGTACGTACGAAGTCCTACGTTGCAACTGACTGACTTTATATCGAGAGCATAAGCATATGACTAGCAGTTAACTAAGAGCAAAACATAGTTTGGTAAAGATGTGCATTAGTTCAAGTCGCTTCACTACATCAACATCAGAAAATAAAATTTAAAAATTACCAAAATAGTAAACTTAGTAACAGTACCAGTGGTAACAAAAAAGATCCGATATATAGAGAAACAAGGATAAAGCGTAAGATAATTTTTAAATCCAAGATACACAGAAAAACAAAAAGTAGGCGCATGTGTACCATATAAATCCATTGTGAACCATATCAACCACTAACTCTAACTGTCAGTTACGCTAATCACGCAGGCTCCAATTAGGTGTACCAAATAAATGCCTGTCTTTCCAGCAAACCTCAACATGCTGAGTCAAAACTTACAGATAAATATTAATGTCAAAGCCTATTTGAAAGCGAATCAGATGATGTCAATACACTTAGGAATAATATAAAGAAAAACTAATCAAACATGAATAGCATGTGAAGTACGAATTAAGAAAAGTGATGAGTATTAAACTGACGCATATGTAAGTAAGTAATAAACAGTGAATGAAACTGTACCAAGCTGTTTAATCGATGATTTATATTCGATCGAAGAAGAGAGGCATAAATTAATAAATAGGAAATTCACGGAACAAAAATTTCATAAAATAGGGTTAAAAACAAAGTATGTAGCCTCCGTGAGCTTAGTCGACCAACAAGAACCCCAAGCATTTGTGAGTACTTAAGAGCATAAGAGAATGCAGTACCACACTATTTAGAACAGATTTTTACACAATCTATGTAGATTCACTACGGTTTATTAATTAAAATTAATTCATAATTTGTATAAATGCTTGCTTATAAAACCTGATAACATCAATCACAAAAAGATATTCCATGTATGAATAATAATAGGTTATCATGTTTCTACATTTCTACACAATCACTACGATTAATAATGTCTATAATGCTTCAACAGATGATGACCATAACCGACATATTCCTGAACTAATTAACTGTATTCTAAAATATTCCATCAGTATTATATGCTTTAGTATCACTCAATAGTGCAATACAATCAACTGATTTCAGTTGTATTCTTTCAAAATGTACATACACTTTTACAAAATACTGAAACACACTCATCTAAGAAAAAATAATCGAAAAAGAAAATCATTGCAAACTGAAAACGTCCTTAAATAATTAAGCTTAGAATAAATAAGTGTTAAAATTACAAAGTATTGTATATCTTATTCATAAATCAATAAAAAAATAACAGTAACATTGAAAACAAAAACTAAATATTTGCGTAACATACACTTTAATACAACATTTTAGTAACATGTTTACAATTTGAAAAACTTATTGCAGTGTATTATCAATTTTGTAAATTAGACATGCAAATAAATGCAAGTACTAATTCACCACAATGATTGGTGGTAACCGTATGTGTTAGCCGGACATAGATGGATTAAAGCATGACTGCGCTAGCTGCACGCTGATTGGCTAAATCTAATCTGATCAGTGCAAGTCGATATTTTGAGTAAATCGCAGAAGCTTCTTTATAAAGAATTATAAAGAGACTAACGTTGTTTCTATTCCGCCTTCGCTTCGGCTTCTTACTTTCATCTAACCTCGGTATGTGGAATATAATCTTTTTCCTGTTCAACCAAGTTCTGACTTTGGAACTTGTCGAGTGTATTGTTGTCAGAGAACACTAAGCAGTAGTAATAGCTGGGTTCACAAACAGAGATTTATAACAGTATGATTGAATAAAATCAGATATGAAAAAGACAAACAGCATTGAAAAAATTTCATGCTGAATTCTATTTGTATATCACCATAAGTTGAGAGGTAGACGAAAAAGTGTAGACAGTTAGTTATTAAAGCATTAAGAAAGTTCTTATCAGCTAGTTCGAACACAGATTGGTTGTTTCTGAACCTGACAGCAACAATGAATGTGAAAACATTATTGCATGCACCCGATTAGTTTCTTCGACGGGGTGGGTTTATGACGTCTATACGCAACTCTTCTTCAACCGAGCTAAAGCGATCTAGGCTAAAGGTGAAGCACTGAATTCAAACACGGAACTAACTGCAGAAACGTCTTCAGAAGGAACGGAGAGGTAGGGTAAGTATCAGCAGACTGGAAAGAAGGAAACTTCATCAAGGTACCAAAGAAGGGAGATCTTGGCAAACGTGAGAATTACAGAGACATCACTCTCCCATTATTACCAGGAAAAGTCTCCAACAGAGATTTGTTGAACTGAAAGAATGACTAGGTAGGCGTCCCACTTTGAGATCAACAGGCTGGATTCCGTAAGGACCGATCGTGTACCACCAAATCGCACGCTATACAACTAATTATTGTGGAATAATTAACTAAACGCGACCTAGTTGCATACACAAACTTCCTTGACTAGGAGAAAGCATTTGTCAGAGCGGACACAATGACACTGTGTTAGCTACTTCGACAATATGGTGTACCTGAGAAGATAGTCAACATAATACAGAATTCTTATGATGGAATAAACTGCAAGATTGCGCATGGAGGAGAGCTGACAAATTCATTCGAAGTGAAGACTGGTGTAGGACAAAGTTGCTTAACCTCACTCTTTCTCTTTCTTCCCGTAGTTGACTGGATTATGAAGACATCAGCATCTCAGAGGAAACACGGAATACAGAGGACAGCTCGGATGCATCTAGATGGTTTGGACTTTGCAGATGATTTCTCTATCCCATACACAACAACAAAATACAGACGAAGATGATCAGTGTAACAGAAGTCTGTGCAGCCATAGGTCTCAACACACACAGGCAAAAAAGCAAGACCCTCCGATACAACACAGTGTATACCAAAAAAATCACACTTTACGGAGAAGCTTAGTAAGATGTGGATACCTTTACATACCTGAGCAGCATCACTGATAAACAAAGGAATCTGATGCAAATGTGAAGATACGGATTAGCAAAGTAAAGGTAGTATTTCTACAATTGAAGAACGTCTGGAACTCAAAACAACTGACCGTCAACCAACACCAATGTCACAATATTCAATACAAACATCAAGATAGTTATAATGTATGGAATGAAAATTTAGAGAACAATGAAAACTATCACCAGTAGTCCTTGAAGTAGTTGTAGTAGAAAATAAAAATTAGATGTAAAAAAGAAAATGAATTTATTCCAGTGGAATAAAGTAAATCTGAACTCAGTTCAAGCACATTTCAAGCTACAATTATAAATCGAAACTTGATGCAGCCTTTAATTTTAACTACAACTGGAAAAGAGGGCTTAGTTCACAAATAGTCAAAGATTTCTTGTCAGGGGTCTATACTAGACGAGTAACAGGCGTATTTAAATAATATTATCAAACAATGCTTTATACAAATGTCATATTAATTTAAAAATAAAATAACACTGACAATAAATCAGATGATCAGAGAAAACTGTCATTATTAATAAACATCTATATAATATGATTAATATAAACTAACCAGTTGACCCAGTTGTTACAGCAGATTGTGGATTATTTTGTTTTGTTAAACATTCTAACTGACGTAACTGTTTAGCTAGTTGTTCAATCATTTGTTCAAGTAAAGCACAACGTTCATTTTGATTATTGAATATACGCTGCCATCGTGTAAATTGACTACGCGTAAAACGCGTAAATTCAGAACATGACTGCGTAAACGATAAAGAAAAAATGAAAAGTAAAACTTAATTAATGAAAAAAAAACAAACTAACTCATTCACTGAGTGGCTTAGAGTGAAGTCAGTCAGTTACAATGTAGAATTTCGTACGTAAGTACATCAGTTCAAGTAGCCATACCACATTAGTACAGAGACGTAATTGTCAATTCAAATCCCATAGTAGTAGTGTAGTGAACGAGAACACAGGTGGGGCAACCGAATTGTATTTAGCGAAAATTACAGAGTTACTCAGTAAAATTGGAAAACCATATCGTAAATCGTTCATTTGCAAAAGATCAGTTCATCCTATGGAACTGGACTGTTCCTGTTGCAAAACATCAATCCATTGTCACTATTCATGTGTTTCATACCAAATCCATTGTTTTCTAACTCTTCCTTTCTTGATCTTCCCCCCATATTATGCTACCAGACTTTACGTTGACACTCACGTCATATACTACTTATAAGTAGTTCGCACCACAGTAGTAGTAGAAGTATTAGCAGTAATCGAAGAGATTAGGATTGGAAGATATTATTCAAGAGGTATAGTCTAGTGAAATAAATTTAAAGCGAAACCATTAGATCGTAGCTTCATACATTACTCAACAGATGCCTTTGGTATGACAATAAACTAACAAGACAATATTGATAAGATGATAAATCTTAATGAGAAGTGCAAATAACAATAAACTAAAAGGAAATCTCAACTTCATTATTTTTATTTTTTTTTTGTTTTTGTTTATTAAGATCATAGAAAAGAAACGAATTTAATGTATTCAAAATTGGATTATATGTTCACTTTTAATCTTGAATATTTAAAACAACTTCAGAGTTAATAACCATGATTCCATGGAATCAATCAAACATTACATTACATGAATATCATACAGTCTTACCATATATATATATTTAATTTTTCTAGAAACACTGAATGAATGCTACAATATTCTCTTTATTAATAAAATGCCAACTAATTGCGAGTACATATTTTAAACAAATAATACAAGTAACAATTGTTTGTTATAAACTTTGAAATGAATCTACGAAAGCTATTAAAACCATAGAAAAACCAAGGAAATTTGACAATTTACATTGGAAACTATACCAAGTAGTTTTCATTTCCATTTTTTAATTAGAGTTATGGAGACTATTGTTTTTACGCATTGAATTGTTAGACCACCATTAGAAACCTAAAAGCACTGGACGGACATTTCGTTCTGGTATGGGACTCATTAGCACCTTTGGATGCCGGCCCAGTGGTCCTAAGCCTGTCGGATATAAGCAGTAACTATAACAACGACAAACTGGTGAGGTCGAGCAAAATTTCTAGATCAATTAGAGTTAGACATTAATACCGTTGGATGCCGGCCCAGTGGACCAGATGTTAGGCACTCGCGCGCAAGTACAGAGGTCCCGGATTCGGATCCTCTGAGGTGCAGGAGTCGTGGATGCGCACTGCTGATGAGTTCCATATACCAGAATGAGACGGCCGTCCAGCGCTTCCATATTTCTAATGGTGGTTTAACAATGATTGATGTATGATGTCCATGTCTGAATGACAACAATTATTTATCAAAACATAAATTAAACTAATTACAAACTCTAAACAAAGAAATCGAACTAAGAAGATGCATTGGATATCTCTTTATTCACAAAGCGCCCGATCATATTCATTGAGCAAAGCCCTAGTTATTGACCAAATATTATGACTTTAGCAAGTGTCAGATTAGTAAAACAGAGACCTTTGACTAGCATATTACAGGGAATCATTAGTTTGTTTAACTGAAACAATCACTGCACTCAAATAGATTAAGTACAACGTAGTACAGTGCAAAAATTACGAAGGTAAAATTGAACCTTTTTTAGGCTTGGTTACATACAAAAACAGAAACTGAAATTTACTGTAGCTTAATAACTAAGTATGGATTGATGTTATGCTAGTGATACTAATCGAGTGGTCAAGCTACAATAACCAAAAGATAGAAAATCAAGTGCATTAATCAGTATGTCACAGTGGCGATACCGACTTTGATTAACATATTAACGGAACACTCATATACTGTCACCCTAGCCTATATGAAACTCATTATAATCTGCGTAAAATTTTGGTATCAACAAACTGTTTAGTACACATTAGTGTAACACTATAATAAGACCGAATTAAACGTTTGAAACACTTCGCCTACTTTAATAAAATCAATCAAGTATTTGAATTTATTCTTCACTTAATAATATACTTTAATTCACTTAAGTGTAGCATTAAATTATTTTAAAAAAAAAAAGTACGAACCTCACTACATAATAAAATGAATGTATGGATATATGGATTTCTGTGTTAATAATGTTGTATTTCTAGTTCTATATAAAACTAACTAAATTGTTGAATACAATAACAGTTTACAGTTATAATGGTTGGTCACACAATGAAGTGAAATGTTTGAAAAATTCAAAAAAAAAACAACAAAAAAAACATTACAAGTCTGCAAAACAATGTGATCCCTATAAGAAAATCATTTTGTGTTTGAAAAAAAAAATCACTTCATATAGTTTTTCTTTTTATCAAGTGAATTATTAGCATTAATTTTACAACCTAATCGAAATGAAATGTGATCTTGAAAAATGGAAAATACATGCAAGGGTACATATAACTATAAATTTAAAAAAAAAAACTGACTATAGTTTTTTCTATAAAATTAACGTACATACGAATCATATACTGATCAAGCATAATATCAATTACGCAGTTCATATATATATATATATAATAATAAAGTAAAATAATTACTTTTCATCCTTTCATCAAAGACTGAATACACATAGATAGGTAGTTATCAAATGGTTTGTACGATAAAACTGCATAAAAATATAAGCAGACATTGGTTTTTAGCTCAACATTTTAGTAAAGCAACCAACGAAACTGATGACGGTATCGTTCATATCTATGTCAACTTGATAAGTACAAACGAACGAAAGGATATACGACCGATAAATGCTAGAAATGACATACCATTAGATGAAGACAATCGATTGTCAAAACTCAGTTTTAACAACTGTTCCGGAATTGATAATATTCCACAATCATCATTAAGATGAGCCTCATATGAAAGTGAAACCAAAGGATTTGTTACAACAAGTGATTCAAGATTTCATGTCATCTTATTCACGGATTGGATATTTTTTTGGCAGTGATTTCAATAATAAATAAATACTTAGTGTTCTTTTCAGAAGAGAAAATTTATCAGTTCTATATATTTCCATAAGGCATGTATCGTGAACTGGCTATGAAAATAAAACATAATCTATAAAACCCTAAACAGTAAAAACTATCAACGATCTGATACATTAATTTCCAATGTGTTGGCTAAATATATGAATTTGATCAAGATTTTCGATGAATAATACCTATACATTAATAAGTTATCATTAAGAAACAATAATTAGAATCTTGTCATAGTGAAAATATACACACACAAAAAAAGAAAACAAGAAACTGTGCTAATTAACATGCTTTTGTACAATTGTATATCGATTACCATTTTCCCATACTGGTAGTTAAACAAGTCGAGTTTGAATTGATCGATACGCTTAGAATTATGAAACTATGGTAACCATTCAGGGCTACAGAAACTTGTTATTATATTATTCTCATGCTTTAAAAAACCTTTAGCATAAATGAAACTGATGCATTAAATTGAATATAATGGAAAATAAGATTAAATTAAAAGGAAACTGTTAGGGTATTAATAAAACAAAAGTGATCTGTCAAGATTTTCAATACACCATTTTCCTAAAAGAAATAAAAAGGATAAAAGAATAGAATTGTTTCTTTACCAATGTTTAAACTTGTATAAGCCCAATCAAAACTATATTCGCAAAGCCTGTATCAATGAATAATTAATAACACACTACATATCATTAATTATAGACAATTTTTTTGAAACGACCCCTCATCTTTTATCTAGAAGCATATTTAAGACCTAAAACTATCAGTGATAAATCTAAATAGCTTTATGATAAGACGAATTCGATACATCTTATTTAAGACAAGTGAGAGCCTACATTTCGATGTTGAACTAGGCAATTGAAAACACGAGAACAAGAACAATAAGAGAAACCGTTTGATCATATGTGTGCCGAAAAATGCATTCTAGTTTATCGATTATTTGACCAATATAAATACAGAGAAAAATACAATAAGATTTAAATAATTGGTTGACATTTGTACTTACGAAGAAGATAAGTTTAATATCTCGTTAACATAACTCCTAGGATAACCACCTTACAAGCCTTGGAGGTTTGTTGCTACTATGTACCAAAAAGGTCTTATCCAACTTCAATGTAAGTATTTTCCAAGTATTCATGTTGTCACAGACAATCGTTTACTAGTTGACCTATATCAGTGTGCATCACCTATAAATTATTCACTTTTCTACTAATCTAGATATACATGTATGTAGTTGTGTCAAAATTCTGATCGATAACAGAATCAAAGAAACGACTATTAGAATGCTAGTTGCAACAGATGAGTGTCAATCATCATTACAACAATTGACGAAATCACAAGTTACACTTATCAGTACAGTATATTAGTCAAAGATTTGCCTCAGATATCAGACTTTGAATGTTACTTGTGTACATCATTATTTCACATTTAGGTACAATTTAGAAAAATTACAAATATGCAAGACAATATGAACATGATTTATGACTAGGTAACACATAATATTCAAATACCATCCAATATTTGGTAAATTCGCAACTTCATCTATCGGTCATCTTTCCGTATGTGTAATTTATGATTAACAACTGAAAGGAGAACGTAAAGCAGCTAATCTAATGAGTTAACAGAGAATACGATTTATAATTATTTGTTCGTTTTGTAGATAATGCAGTCAAATTATGAAAAATATGAAAGTTAAGGTGTACTTTTATTTGACAGGCAGACATAATCATGTATATGACCAAACTTGAATGTATCGATTAGGGTTTTTTTTAACAGATTGTCTTTGACTTGATTTATTTGTAGACGTTTACATGGACATACATGTAATATAATAACAAATTATGACGAATATTACAATAATCACAGTATGTCAAAATGACCTTGACCTAGCAAACCATAGACTAGTTTTATTCCTATAAGAAGCCTAGTGATAGATTCATACCAAAACTAAGTGCTTTTGTGTACATACTGTTGTGATGCAAGCGAACATTGACCAATACCTTCGAAAAAAAAACAGAGAAAATAGTACTACAATAAATGTTTTGAAAAATTTAATTATGATTGCTTATGCTTATTCACGTAATTTCGGTGGATGTGCAAAGAACTCGGATACACCTTAAAGTAGATAAAAAAACAACTGTATACGTAAAAGTAAAACACGAATGACAATTTGGTACAAAAGAGCTAATAGGTTAACAGTCCTCAAAGCTGCACTATAACAAATCTGTAAATGAAGCAGACTATGTATATAGAGTTCGAAGAATTCAGACAAATTTAGTATCATGCAGATTGAGAAAACTAGGGTCTTGAAGGTGATATACTTAATGAAAACAATACTCAACGGAAGCAGAAAAACAATAAGAAAGATTTTATGTTATATGACAATAGAACAAAAGCAATATGAAGCTTTACAATAAACGGTCACGAAAACCAGAAATCATTTTTAACGTGACATAAAAACTATGGAATGCGGGTGCAAATATGGGTTTTTTTTATGTTCCGTTCTGTGCCCACGTCAAGATGCACCACATAATTCCAAATATAACTTTATGAACCTCAGGAAACATCACTGCAATAGACTGGCCTGATGATCACCTTGGTACCTCATTGACAGAATTTTAATCTAGCAGAATAAATGCTCCAGAGAATGCTGTAACTTAAGAAGCTACAAAGTACACAGATTATTTTACAAGTACTTTTGTCTGAAATCGAATAAAGTTTTACAAGCGTTGGGTGTCGAGTGAATGCAAGACATTACATAAACAACACTGCAAATCAGTTTCCATTCAGTTATTTATATGAACAAATCAAAATACTCATCTCCCGAAGAAGAATTATGTTTATTAACGAACAAAATCGATAGGTAACTTACATTAACCATTGCCATACTGGCAACTTTAAAAACTGTAGCACGTTCACGAGCCAAGTTGAAACGTTGCAACAATTCAGTGGGATCACGAGCAGACTCTACGTCACCAACAGAACGTCGAAGTTCTTCACCTTTTCGATTCATTGTCAATTGATAACGTTCAAGATCAGTGACATGAGCTTCCAGTTTTACAAGCGCATCGTTAATAAATCTAATTCCATTTTCATCAGTGGTAGATGATGTCTTGTAATCATCATCATCCTCAAATCCATCAGCATACGCATCTGAATCATCACCTAAAAATATATATTGATGAACACTTTAAATACGAATCATATATACACAAAACAATATATTATCTAATAATAAAACCTTGCTACCCAATGGAATTATCGATCACGGCATTTTAAAGTTAGAGATTTTAAAATAAGTTCTATGGACTTTGTTCAACTAGCGAGTTTACAGATAAAAGATTAACTTACAGCAACAAACGAAGGCTCTGAGCAATGATAGCATAAACAATTCTCAAGAAAGACAGTATTTTCAGTTAGACAGTCATCAAACTTTATCATATATATTTATATGAAAATAATAAATCAATCGAGGTAATTTGAGTCAGTAGTTACAATGAAACAGACTACATAACTACACTTGGTAGGTAAAGTACAAATTGATAGTAAGAAGACAGGTATGATCATCAACTCGTAAATTGCCTTGATTAGTTTAATATTTTCATATTAATATTAATGTATAATAAAGCTTGGTAGTGGTCTAATCGAAAACAATATTGCCTGCGTATATGTGTTGTTCCGATTTCCATGATGAGAACCTTTAATAATCAAGAAGTAAAGTTATACTAATGATGAAAGTATATCTACACATGATATTTGAACTATAGAGTGAATATCATACATGTGCTTACGATTAAAAATCAAACTACAGTGAAAATTACGTACACGGATGGTAACCATCTATTCAAAAACATTGAAGCTTTTATAAATTGATCTAACTGATACAACTACACCAACATAATATTACAAAATAACCAATTTGAAGTGATTTAGAATAAAAATTTTCGGAAAATTTGCAATAAAGCAATTGAAAAGTATCAATGCAGTTGTTTATACTTACATTTGGCAGAAGGTACCAAATTTGTAGTCACTTCGATAACTACTTTTCTACTGAATAAAAATAGAACTGTATTTTTTTGGAAATATTGTTTGGACATGATCTAAGTATGAATTATATCAGTTAATGACTAACAGTATATTCAAAAGACTGAATCTTGTCAACATCATCAAATAATGTGTTCTTTGTATTCTAAGTCGATGAGTAGAATTCTTAATGGCTCAAATTGTGAAAAGTTAAGTGGAAGTGTGTTTTAAGACACTGATCACATATACGGTGGATAAAAGGAACAGAATACAATCCAAGATAAAAATGGTTAATAGTGAACAAGGTAGACTGGAGTTATAATAGAAAATGTTGGAACTATTAACACTTCCGAGTTTGTGATATCATGAACAAATATTTCTCGCTAGATACTTGTCACATACTGACACTACCACACATACCGGTTTGTGACCAATAGATTTCGGAAATGAATGTCATATTTGAAACCTCATATCGAGTACTGGAAACTGATGAGGAAAAGAGGATTCAAGTCTTTTTAGAATTCTTTCATTCACTTATATAGGCAGAATTCCTAGTCATTAGTGCAAAACTTGGTTATTTGCCACACTCAGTAAAATAAAAGGTCATGCCTTGGTAACATTGACCCCAGTAAATCTGTCTGGCACCGCAAGACCGAGTATTCTCAAGATATGGTTACAGCGATTGATCACAACAGACAAACCTGTCCATTCTATTAAGGCAGCAGATTATCTAAGAATAACCAATCGATAACTTGCTGCAAACTTTCGCTGACTACAAATCAAGTTCAGTGATAACGTGAACATTCATTTTCCAATCGAATTACGAAAATATCAAAGACAGAAATCTTACGAACTTTAGTGGTAGTATCGTATACTGGATTGGGGACACCTCAATCTACGTTGTTGAAATCAATGACGTATCATTAAGATAAAATTTACGAGACACTACACTTGAAAACGCAAAGGGTGAGTGATTACGGAGTTATTCAGGTCCGTAAGAACTAGAGGACGACCAGTCAATCAGATGCAACGTAGAACTTCGTACGTAAGTACATCAGTCCATGTTGCCATACCACATCAGCACAGAGATATAATTGTCGATTCAAATCCAATAGTAGAAGAGGTAGTAAAGGTATTAGGACGACCAACGAGGATATGGAGCCCAATTCTTTTTAAAACTTAACAATGAGCGGTAAAAGAACAAATTTGTATGGTTACCTGTTCCGCCATATAAATTTTGAATACGGTCACAAACCGGTGACAATAATGAAATATCAAGTCGATAGGAATTAGACACTAGATAGTAAATTTTTTGGAATACAGAAGTGGTCAATGTATGTAAAATTCAAATTAAATTTTTGTTAAGCAGTACCATGAGATCTAAACTGTGTATTTATGATTACTTTCTATACTTAATATCCGCAGATCTGGACTAGAATGGATGAGTAAGCATAATTTGCAGAAAAGTAGAGAATTAAGTTAGTTTTAAGCATACACCAAAATGTTTATTGACGGATATATACATTAGAGCATCCGACAACTAACGCAAATCTGTCGAGTGAAAAGGAACAACGACTAAAGGTGAAATATACCTATTTAAATCGATCGTAATAGTTGTGCCCACAGGATTATTCATCCTATAACAGTTATTTTCAAGTAAATAGAGACGCAAGGCAAAGTATACAAAGTGTTATTAAGATTGTAACAAAACTATACATATGCTACCAAAGAATGATAACACTACTAGACAATGTCCGCCTATCTACAAGTCATTCATCTTGAAGATAAGTCAAAGAACGGATGAAAAAAACCTTTGGATTGTAAAACAAAAGTCTGGCCTGGGCAAAATATGGAGACAACAGAACAAAGTTCAGCTATGAGGAACTAAATGAAGTCAATCACTGACACACAAAATACCTAACAAGAGCTCCTACTGATTTAGAGAACCAGACTTACGCGCAGCATACATTGTGAGTCCATTATGATTTCTGAGATATAATTTATATATACGGAAGTCATATAAACATATTTACATATATTTATTTATTTACCGCTACTCGCAACCGGAAAACTATCATCACAAATAGACATTCCATAGCTCCAGATATCAGATGGTTGGAGTGAATTAATAAAGTCATTTCTCATTTCACACCAAACGTTTTATAAACCAGCTGGTGTAAAATACACATGTGATGTATATTAAATTTACTTTTATTCTGACGTTAAGACAGATTTCGACTAGAAGTGGTATATTAGTCGTGAGAACTAAACCTGCTTTGGTGATGGTGACCGTGAACTATACATACGCCGAACATGATAGCAGTAGGCTTATGTCAGCTTAATGCCTGTAAATTTTTTGTACTAACGCAGAATGCCAAAAAAACTCATTTTGCTGACAGTTTCCTACCAAAAGGCCTTGTGTTATGTGAATGATAAACCAATTCAAATTTTAAAATAAATGCTATTCTAAATTCATTTCAGTTACCTTGCTTTCTTAAGGCTACTGCAGCTTTTTTAGCATTAGACAGTGCTGATAACCATGCTAATTGCTCACTCTCGGAACTAGTCTTTATATGGAATTTTTGTGCACTACTATTTGAGATCTCAAAATAGACTGATCCTATTCTCTTTACGATAGCATCCGCAAGTTTGATGGTTCCGCGACAGGTATGAGCCATCTCTGCTGGATTCCTGACAAAAATGTGGATCAGAAAGAAATATATACCTGTAATATGATAACAGGCCATTCTGTAATACAAACCATCTTTTTTGATATCCTTTTAAATAATTTGTCCACTTATAAAGGTAACCTTTCATACAATCTCTCTCTGGACTTAGATCCATTGGCATCCAAGGCCAACCGAGGTGTATACGCACTCGAAGGTCAATTTACCGTTATCCTATTAGTGAGTAGACCACGGTAATCATCAATCTTGATCAAGGCGGTCAAGTTAGACATCTTGTACAATTGATCTAGAAATAGGTTATGATTATAGGAGGGATATACCGTAGTTCATATTGTCTTGCTGAAGACCTTGTATTAATTCACATCTACACTTGAAGCTCGGATGACTTTTGTCGCATTGCTCACTCACCAATTGTATAGAGATTACACCTTGAGGTGGGTGTTCCGACGACAGCCGGTTGTTAAATATTATTCAATATACCTTAGTAAAATGTATCGTAATGTCAACACGTTTACTTAGGTCATGAATTCCTATTGCTGAACCTTGATTTTCACACTACTATTATGATGTTACCGACATCATGTAATTACCATCACTCAAAAACTTCGAACACACTGTATTGTACTTTAAGTTTCAGACATCTTATACACAGAATTTGTCCGCTCCACACTGCCTTATTAGCTAGGATGCTAATATTTCAGTAATCAGAGATTGTGGAATCTCAGCTGATTAGTCGAACACTGTAGATAAGTCAGTCGAAGACTGGAATAAGTTTGAAGCTGCATTCTGGCCCGTAACATTACCGTTCATGCCATGGTCAACACATAGGATATCACGATGCCACCATGGATCGGTAGGGAAACATGGAAACCTCTGTGGTCCGAGAAAAGCTTTCGGGATTTGTTCTTAACAGATCATGAATCGCTAATGTAGAAATACTGAAAAATATGAAAAAATAAAAAGACCACAGAGGCATTTCGTATTAATTAGGCACAAAAGTTGGCGTAAGGAAGACATGACTTACTTACCTACTTTCGCCTGTTACCTCCAATGGAGCATAAGCCGCCCACCAGTTTTCTCCAACCAAATCTGTCCTGGGCTTCGCTTTCTAATTCTGTCCAATTTTTGTTCATTCTTCTCATGTCTTTCTCTGTTTCTCTCCGTAATATGTTTCTTGGCCTTCCTCTTTTCCTTTTGCCCTGAGGGTTCCAAGTGGGGACTTGTCTTCTGCTTTTCGTATTGTGTGTCTTATCCACTCCCACCGCGCAAGGAAGACATATTTGCTCAAAATTATTGTTTTCGTTCATCAAACGAAGAAAAAAATGTGATGGAATTTCTCAATTATTGTTGCTTAAAAGTTTAGGTATACTAGATGAATCAGATGCGTTCAAACTTGAAACTTATAAAGTTATTTCAACAATGTTTACTTTATGTTTATTGATAAGAATCTTTTAATAATCATAGCACCGATGTAACAGCTGTCTAACTAGAATAAGTGACTGACGTTGCTGTTCTGCAGCTACTCATTAGCCACAGATATGGCAAGTCACCAGGGTCTAATTAATTACACTGATGATTGCTGTCACCCCCCTAGACACAAGTGCAGGACTACTCATGACGCTGTTCAACATGATCCTTTAGCAAACTAGACTCACCAGGAATCGGAAGATCACCAAAATTACATGGCTATTAATTTATGGCTTTAGACAGATCTTATCTGACTACTGATCAATCACTCTTAACAGCACAACTAATTAACCTGAAACAATAATTCGAACCAATTTGCCTACGAACGCAGAATTGTGCAACCTACTAACTCCTGAAAAATTGTGTTCCAGAACAACTTTTTCCGTTTCGGAGATATAAATATGCATTGGCGAATTACAAAAAACTGAAACTAATACAGTCAGTCAATTAAAGAGAAAAGAAAGACAAAAAAGCATATTAAATAGTAACTGAAGGACAGGTAAATGGGACAATGGACCTAACATTGTTTATGAAAAACATGGAGAACTGCGACTCATTAATAAGAGGGGCAAAGTCATACAATGTCCAGTAGATCTAATGTAGTGGTGGCGCTTGATACAGGCATCGATGGGATCGTTTATCAAAGACACCTTACAACAGATGCTGTATAAGAGTGGAAAACAAACATCCTCTGTAGCCGAAGAGAGAGGGTTAGAATAAATTAGGGTTGGAATGAGGATTACCACAGTGTAGCACCTCAGGTCCTCTATTTTTTCTTCTCGAAATCAATAAATCATCGAGACTTCTGAATCTGTTGACACGGTTGTTTGCAGATAATGTCGAAATCTAGTAAATAATAGACAACATAACCGAGAAAAATTTACCAGATAGTTACATAATTATCTCTCAGATTTTGATTTCGTGGTAATGCTCATCGGATAAGGGAATAGCTACAGTACATTGCTACTATGCTTGCAGAAACAAAACGATACAAGATTAATAGCAAACCATGACTGAAAACTGATCGAATATTGTTCGTAAGGGTTTGAAGTTTGCAGTAGTATTAGTAGTCACAAAAATATCTAGCATTATATAGCGCACTCTTATCTTCATTTTATTGCGGTATCAGTAAATTGGAACTTGCTCTCATTTTCATGATCCATGATTTACTGAGTATTTTCACGAGCATCATTCCCTTCTTTCTGGGACTAATCATCTCCGATGCTATTCTAAATGGTTCAAAATAGTGAGATCGAATAAACTCCTAATAGGATTCCATCCAAGTGATCATTAACCAAACTGAATGATCCTAACATTTGGCACCCGGCGTATTACCGAACTCCTATATCATCTACATGTTTACATTGATCAGCATTGCTATTCGTCTACAAGAATTCGATTACTTCATTATATTCGATCTGCGCCGTATCATTCTATGCTGATATCTTGCCGTTTTCCATTGCCAACGTCTTGTTGTTTTTTTTTTTGAATCACTTAAAGGCTGTAGGCAAAGACCTATTTCTCTCTCCGACGCTTCTCGGGTCCTGTCACACGATGCTCTTTTCATGTTATTGATTCCTCATTACCTTCACAACTGTCTTCCATGGTGATTTCCTACTCTTTTATTGATACTGTGAGGCTTGAAACTTATCACTGAAATCTCACTCGCTCTTGCGGAAGTTACTGGCGTCCTGAAGAAAAGCCATGCTGAGACTGTGTAATGTTAATCATCTTACCCATAGGTCTTCAGAAACTTATATTGATGTATATATGTTCAGTATTTTCGAGTAGAATACCTCTGAGAGTTTCAGATAGCTTTATGTATGAGTTTGCATGTGAACATTAAGATAACTGTGAGTGTTGTTGAAAACGCGTAAATCTATTTTTTCCAGCAATCATATTTTCATTCTGTCTGTTCAAACAGCTCTACGACAGTTCCAAACGAGGTGAAACTGAAGCAGTAATGTGATAACACTCCAACTGTTTATTATTGGAAAGTGTTGCTAAGTCTCAGCTCTTTGATCATGTCTCGTATTCAAATTTTGTTAGAGGGAATTTTAGCAGCGTTTTATGTTTCTCAATCATTGATATTCGATCATAATAAATACTTAAATTTTTTTGATTCCTCAAGTTTTTTGGCAAGCCATTGATAATTGGGTTGTGGTTCAATCAATTTAATGTTGTGGTGTAGCGGTTTACTTTTACGAAGAAAACACAATTGCAGAAATATAAATATTTATTATTGTACTTAATTCTGACAATAGTCGTTATATTGTACACCTCTTGTTTGTCTGTACTAAAGAATATCTCTCGCGCGCCAAGCGTTTTATTCCCATTCTCCTCTTTGCACGTCTCCTGTAGAATCTATTTTGAAGGTTTTCCTTTTGGAAAATCCCTCCATGTATGTATATTTGTGTTATGATCTGACTGACTCTTTCTGAAATTTTGGTACTCTATTTGATCCCATTTTTGGGATTTCATCATTTGCATCTTGTTATTATTTCTGTATCTTGTACTTATATTGAAGTTCGTATGTTTCCTTCTGAACTATGTATGTGTTGTTTAAAATTGATGCCTTATATGGCTGCAAAAAATCAATATTTACAAATGAGACTTTGCTTTTATGTTACTATATATTATAAAGTCTCGAAGAAGCATCCCTTCATACCTTCAGTCAGTGCCATTTGTCTCCATGATCATTTGTAATTTCGAAGCACTTCACTGCTATAAAGTAATAGCAACATCACATTCACTTGAGTCCATATTAGTTTGAGTTTAATAACTGTATTAACAAAGGCAGATTCAATCACATGGTCACCGATTTCATGGAGAACTAGGCCTAAACTTTGTCAGCCGACTTGTTCTTCACCTTTAAAAGTTGTTTTCTTCAGAGCCTCATAACATTCGCAAACCACCAGTGAAGACACTAGTTGTAAATATACCCGTTCAACTCACGCACTGGTGACATTACCAAAGCGAGAAACGACATATATGGGTCTGTTATAACGTGCATGTGGAGATCAGACTGCGTAGTAGAAGCAGGCTACGATGTCGTCAAACCAGAATGGCGTGACTTGGAAGTTCAAGAATAATAATCTTAGGAAGTAGAAGTTTGTATTCGACATAAAAAGAATGGTAAATATAGACGAGAGAATAAAAGTGGATAAAAAGTGTTTCACAAGCAAAAATATTTGAATATTTATAATACAGAGAAGGAACAGACTTATAGGCGTTTCGGTCGAGGATCTATGAACACCTCTATATACAAATCGAATGAAGGTCTCGCACGTTTTCCCTGCAAGGAAGAACATGGGACAGGCCAAATGAGATAGGTGGATTTTTTAGTGACTTAAGGTTATCCAAATTAATGAAACGTGTCCGAATGAGTGAAGGTACGGAGCAACCAAAGCAAGATAGCTACCGGAAAGAGGAGGAGGAACGCGACCGTAGTGTAATACGAATAAAAAACTATTGGATAACAGGTTCACTATTATAATCGATAATAATAAACACTGTTGCTATTTAAATAATCCTTAGTAAAACTAAAATCAATACAGACTCACGGTATCTTGATGAATCTGGCAGATCTCCTCGTGATTACCGGTGAAGATGTCACGAATGTTCAGATTCAGACAACATTATTGCCCGTAACATCTTAAAGACCTAGAACTTCTAACGTCAAGTCAAACCAGAAATCAGGGGTAAAGATTACTCAAAATAATTTTACACACCATCATTATGTCACTAAGTGCGTTGTCTGAGCTGGCAAGTTTTCAGAGTGGATTCATAGCATAGCGTACACAGTAGTGATTTAATGAGGGTGGGTAAATGTGCGTCTTCGTTCAAGGTAGGTCTGTTACAACTACTGAGGTTAGCATCAATGTCTGGAGCTACTAAATCTATTTGTGCTTGAGATATTATACTCTCAGTTGCTCATGTGTCATCCGAAAATTATAGAACTCCTGCAGCGGAGTAAAGCAGTCCAGGATAAGAATGAAATACAATGCACTTGATTATTCCCGGCCGCCAAACTGGAACTAGTGAACGAACTGGGACAGAAATCATTTTATTCAACAACAATTACAAGTTCAGTTTATTAGTATAACGATATTGGCAAGAATAGTAATACATTGCTTATTTACCTCTGTAGAATGGTGAGTTGTTTTATATTATTAGGGAAATCTCTCTTAGATTCTTGAACCATAAATTTTAAAGTCCTTTTACTTCTTTATTTACAGGTGATCTAATAATCCATACAAACACTACCAGTACTGTAAACCGGCTGCCTAAAGAAACTGCCCACTGGTATTGTATGGATTGTAAGTTGTAATTCAGAATACCAATACTTTTATTTTAACTGTTCTCAGTGACCAAGGAGAAAAGAAATAAAACCTAGAATATGAATGGTCTTGGATTTATGGTTAAGCACATGATTTAACTATTATTCAGAATAGTAATAAACAACCAATGTATAACAACATTGTGAATTCCAATTATAACAGTATTGAGAAATCTCGAGAATACGACCTCATTGTGATTCAATTGAATCGATATTGACACTATTAACTGAATATCTATTAAGTGTACTATGATAAAACAAATTTAGTATTGCATTCAACTGGTCTAATCTGAATTAGATTGAAATAAATTCAAGCTGTTGCGATTTTAATTTGGTCAAAGAGTCTCAAGTATCTGTTTATTAATTTATTGATGGAATATAATGAACATATAAGTAGGCAAAAGAAAAAAAATTGGAAAGGTTCATGCATAGGCCATTTTTAACAACAACAAAACTAAGGATAGATTTCCCTTTGAATTAAAATATTGCATTTATCCTTCACATGGTCAGTCAAGTATCGTATTATGTATTTGGTACACGCTCATGTTCACTTATTATGTCTTTAATAAATACCGTTTTCTTCCATTAATTTGTAAGCAAACGTACTGGCCTGGAACATGGCTAATATTACGAGTATTGATATCAACGTTTGGTCTGAATACAGTCGGGGTTTGTGTGATAGCATTACTTTGTTGGCACCAATGACAAAATTGTATTGAGATTCATTTTAGGAATTGTAAACAAAAGTATAGATAAAAGCAACAGTAAGGTCAGTGGTGGTTGCCAAGAAATTACTGAGCCCACAAAGGCTAAGACATAATCTGCAGAACATTTTGTTTGCTTTCGGCTCTTTAGATTGATGAGACGACTAATCAGTAACACTGAGGTTGCTCTTATACGCTTGCTACTTCTGTGGTTCATGTTTCCAAAACTATGCTGAGGTCGCTATTCTGTCGAGACACCTGCAACATTCTTACTCAGGCGCTTACAGTATGACTTGGAGGTTGGCATTCAATAATAAAGAAAAAAAACAGTTAGACAGTGCGAGATTTTATTCGTCAAATTTTTATTTTTACAAACTCTACTCTTTCAACTAGAATTTCGATTTCAACGTACATAAATCCAGCTTCTTACTTCGACTTCTCTTCTATCCACCTGACACTGCACAACTCTCCCTTCTTTTTGCTGTACTCCTTTATCTGTGTGTTATATTCTTATATTCCCATAATTTACTTTAATTTAAGTGGTCAGTATGAATGTTATCTTGACTTACTACTGTATTGACTACTTTAACGTGACAGGTTAAGTAGTGCTTTGGTTATATATATACACTTGCCACACTGCTGCCTTTTCCTCTCTCTCTCCTTTTCAGAACCCCATTCACGGTGGGAAATCCTTGGCAACTCTAGGGAACATGCACCCAATGTACATGACTGTCTGGATCACAGCTCGTATCAAGCGCGTTCCATATGACCTTTCCCAACAAATTCACTATTGATCTCGGCCAATCGCCAATAGAACCTATTGTGCACCTTCCTCATTTGTACTCTAATATTGAAAATGTGGTTGTATAATACTGTTTCTGTCAGTGATATGGTGTATATATACAATCAGAAACTGTCTCTTATACTTAATTTAACTGCTATAACTTTTACAGTAATTGTAAAAGCATTTGTGACAATTTGATCTAGCCTGTAAACTGGCGTGACTCTTGTAACTTATTTATTTGAGAATAAATTATTATTATTATTATTATTATTATTATTATTATTACCATAAATAGAGGTATGGGTCAAAAAGTGATATTTGAATTGAAGGTGAACCGAGCAACAACGCTCAAAATATAAGACATCATTTAGCTGATCGTCGTTTGAAATATAATACATAAGAGAAATTATCTGGTGGAGAACGACTGCAACAGGTCCGGCAGCCAGCTTGCTGTGAGAGTGAAGCAATGGCAATCACGATGACCACTTTATAATCGCTTCTTGGAGTTAGGTTCAATCACTTCCAGTGGGATTCGCATTGTTAGTCCCAGTTATAGGTAATTAGGGACCGCAGTACTATTTCGACATTTATTATATCTTCACTTTGATTCTTATTCGCCGGCGAATATTCAGAAACTAGCGGCCTTCGCTTTATCGTCCAGGTTTCTGTTTATTAGAATAATCCGGATTTATGTACCAGTCACATTAATTTACGGTAATAAGTTTCATAAGTGTTACCAATATTTACTGGCAGATAATGACTAATTAGCGAAATCATACTTTTAAGCAACCTTGATTTTATATATTATGATCGTTACCAGTGCTACGCAGAATAATAGCGGCTTCTTTCTTCTGTCAGCGGGAATTACCCTTGATCGAGCCCTTAAAATTGCAGTCATATTCTAGATTTTAGCCTACCCGAATAGCGCTGGACCGTTAGACTTATGACATGTGCAGCACAACAAGATGGGAGATTTAAAAAAAGACTACTCATCACTTCGTCTTGACGCACCATCAATATTTCGAGTTGATAAACAGACTACAGCGAAACCAAAAGCTAGGTTTTGCAAACAGGCCCGAAAAAGTACCCTAAATCCGGTGGTACTCCGACTTTCAATAAACCTAATCGTGTTGCTAAACCATCAGCCTAAAGATAATGATAATTAGTTATGATGTGAATGCCTAATTTATAAGGTCTCAATATAAAGTCAATTAATTGTGTATACTTACTGTTCTAGGCTGGTAACAGTCTAAAGGCGAAGGAGATTTATAGTGTGACCAAACGTTCAAAGATTAGCCTCAATCTTGTTAATGTTACTTCGTTGACCTTGAAGCCAATCACAAAACTTGGTGACCTTGTCCCAGCCAGTATGTTATACTTAAGAGATGATTACTTGATTTATATGTTAAGCTGCGGACCGTCAAGACCACATCCTTGTCCCGAACTCACTTCCATACGTCGATTATAAGAGGCATTTTAATTAGTGTAAGGAATTAGGTTTACGACTTGGAATTTTCATCAGGTGGCGTCAGTTATGATGCCAGAATGCTGTTTGATTATATGCTTCTGTACTGAGCAACGAGAATTTATCTTGAATTCTTTTGGATCGTTCATAAATTAATCCCATTTGTGATACTTTGTCTTCTTCGGTAGTGATAATCACATTTTCATTTGTTTACTGCCAGTAAATTTTTCGGACATTATCTAGGTCCTAATGAATTATCAGAAGTTTTGCGGTCTTCTGTATTTTCGATATCTTCGTTCGAAATCAAAAGCACTCTTCGGAAAACGTCTCATCACCCAAGCGGCTATGACACCTGGTATAATATGCTTTAGTAATGCTTATTCACAGGAAAGCTTGATACTCCTGACCATGGAAAAAATCAAAAGAATATGGTTGCAAATCCAGATATGTCCGAACATTTTCCAGATGATGTAAATCCTGAAAGCGGAGAAAGGGGAGGACCTCGTGGCCCCGAGCCAACGCGATATGGTGACTGGGAACGCAAAGGACGTTGCATTGACTTTTAGTAATAGTGAAATGTGTCCACACCAATGTTCATAGTAATCTCCCCCACGAAATATATTTTGACCAAATAAATGTTTGTCACAATCTTTATTTTGCTTTTCTATTCATCTCATACTCATATCTATCTCTAACATTTTGACGATCACATTTTAGCTCAAAGAATGATCAGATGGCTTCGAAACAGGGAAGTCACTTCAAATCAAAATGTCTTATCTATGGACCTTAGTTGTGGGCTGAAACCATATCATTTACGACAAATATTGCCTCAGGACGCAGTGGACGATATATTTCTTGGTTTTTCGGCAGATGGTTGCTTTTTGGTTTCATACAAAAATGACTTTAAGCACCACGTAATTAGGTTTTGGCTTTTTCCACCAAGTTCTACCGGAAAAAGTGGCCCGAAGCTTGTTTTGTACAGTGAGAGGAAATTTTTAAGAACCAGTTACTGTCCAGAAATTCATAACGTTCCATGTGTTAGGTTTGTGCAGTCCCTCGCGATTCCTAACTCCTTTTTACTTCTTGCATGCAACGTAAGCACTTTAAAAGGTGGTGTATTCTTTATTTTTTAAAAATTCAGATGGGATCATTATTGTTACTTAGTAATGGCTATCAATTTTAATAACCACAGATAGCGATTTCAAGCAACCATCAGGCTTAACGTGAATACTTCCTAAGAGCATAGCTTACAGAGAACCATTATCTTCATTTGTTTTCATTAAGTATATATAATTTCTGTAGTTATGCACCCAGTTATTAAGCTGTTTGTTTTCCTATCTGGAGACTTTTCCTTATGAACGTAATTTAAACGAATAACATCTGCTTATCGAGGTTTGTGATGAAATGTAATAATTCCGAACAGGCTACTTCTAAAAGGATTTGCTAACCTGTGTTATTGCCGAATCTAAACTTAAGAGCTAAAGCACAGCACATTTTTTGAGGTCCTCTACACATCGATTTTATAGCTTAAGAAATCTCGGTATACCTGCAGAACACTATCTTGGCTTTATGATATACCACTGCCAAAGTTGCTCGCAATGTTATTTTACCTATCAAAAAGGAAATTTATATCATCTCCTTTATAGTAAAAATCCATGAAGTCATTGATAACTGGACTCAGCCATGTTAGTAGGTGTAGACCACCTGATTTTGGTCCGCGAGACAATCGTAACTGGTATTTAGATACTCTGAATGACAGTTCAAAAACATCTGGAGTAGCGCAGATTCACCCATACTTTCTTTTTATCTCGAATTTTCATCTTAAGTATTCCTCATGACCTTTTTTCTCTTTTTAAATATGTTTCACCGGGATATTCTTCTGGAATCATATCATCTGTTCCTGATCTTTTCCCTTATTCCTAATACTGCTATAGCCTCCACTACCATGTATGAACTGACTATTCGATCTCTGTACGGTAATATGATATGGTAACTTGAACTGATGTACATGCGTATGTTCTAGCTAACTGACTGACTCCTTCATTTACTTACAGTTGTTAAACAAGACCTAACAATGTAGTAGGAAAATGTAGGTTTTAATAAAAGTTAATTGTTGTTAAAGTACCACGATATGATAAATTGACTAGCGAAACCGTTGACCTTCACCTACTTAAATAGTTAGGGTTCATGTTTAACAAATTTCACGAAAAGCTAAACATTTAAATTAATATCTGTCGATTCGAACTTTTTAGGTAGACTTACTTTTTAACTGCGGTCGGACAAATAATTGAGATTTTAACTGATTTAGCCAAAGGCTACTCTCAGATACACGGATGCATCCGTTTTTTATATTCTCTTTTGATCCTCTGTAAGTTCAAGTTGGTTATCATACTACCAATTACTTGTGCTACTCAAAAAATCTTGAAATTTATTGAATTTTACTTGGTGAAATGTCTTTATTTTATTATTAAGTAGAATTTACTTTATCTATATAGCGGACTAAAAATAAATCCTGTTCAAATCTCGTAGAAATAAATCGGTTTAAGCTTCTACATTACAACTGCACATGACAAGCGTATGAAGAGAATTTAATTTTGAGGTAAACAGAAGGCTTCTGTATAGGAGGCTTAGTCTTGGGGATGTAATATGTCTGTTTAATTGGAATTTAAACAATTTTAAAGAAATCCACACAGAGCCAAATAAACTTGTGTTTTTTTTCGCGTTGGTAACGTCTAAAATTCTTTGGATCTTTAATTTTTCTGTTTCTTGTTTAATGTTGGTCATTGAAAATTATCTTATCTCGACTCATACTTGAATTTCCCGACACTTGTAAATTCAGAGCAACGTAACAATAAATTTTGAAGTTTTAAACTACTATTTGCAACATTTGTTGTCCCTTATTTTTAATATTTAGAATGATGGAAGTGGGTTTGTTGCTGCATTTGGTCTTATGCCAGATTTAGATTGTAACATCTGTTCTGAGGCATCATATATTCATGATCGTTTGCCCAATAAAGTTACTTGTAGTATTCATTCGCATGTGCTACCTCTTAATCTCGACATATCTCTTGCTCAAGAATTCTCCGTCCCTATAAGAAGTAACAGAAATGCATTGAAGTTCCAGAATATTTCGTATCGATGCACCTCCCATTTTGTACCACCCTGTTTACGTTCATTTGATGAAAATTCTAATAATACTGACCTTTGTGACGGCTCTTGTTTTACTTCGACTGGCTTGCCGATTGGAAAGATTCATGTTGGTGTATCTCCAAATACTGGACATTTACGAATTGCTTGGGCTAATCCAGATGCACAGGTTAAAATCATGTCCTGCTCATTCAAACCTTATACTAGTTCTGGTGATTTTTCATTTTGTTCATTACCCAAGGTATTATTGTTGACTGTTTTTGCTTTCTCATTTAGTACGTGCTTTCATGGTTTTTTAAAGTGTGAATGATATCAAGAAATTCGATCAGAAAATTCGATCTTATTAGTCGTTATGCCAATAGAACCTTTTCCTCAAAATGCCTGACATATCTTTGAGTTTGGATATGGTTTTCAATTTATATTTAGATTAGCCTGAAAATTTTGAACCCTTTTTCAATACTAGGTTATTAGTATTCGATTATAGATGTCTTTGAAGCATTGCTGGTGTATCCTGGAACAACTGAGTTGGCAATGCTGTCGTTAGGAATCGGGGTCCTAGGTAAGCGTGGCAGATCAATAGATGAAGTATTGAAACTTCATCAGTTGAGGTGGTTGGAACATGTATTGCGTATGCCTAACCACCGACCACCTCGTCGAGCTATGTTTTGTAGTGTAGGAGTAGGTTGGAAGAAAGCTATGAGCGGCCAAACCAAAACATGGCAGAAATCCATGAAATCACTGACAGCTGGATTGAGTCATGTTGGTAGATGTAGGCTACCTGGTGAAGAGGTCCGCGAGATGGTAGTAACTGATGGTTAGAGACTTTGAATGACATGGCTCGAAATCGTTTTCAGTGGCGCAGTTGCATTTATTCCTTGTGTTCTCTCAAATTCTAACCTTCTGAATTCCTCGTCACCTTTCTCTCTCTCTTTCTGAATTTATTTCTCTGAATTTTACTTCTTGAATAATATTTTCGAACCCTAATTCTTTCCATTACGGATAATAGTTCTATGTCTATCACTATGTGATCTGGATTTTCTATTGCGTATCTGTGCTAATGTGTTATGGCAACCTGTGATTATGAAAATACTTACGAAGTTCTATGTTGCTGTTGACTGACTGGCTGACTATTTTATGACTTATCATTAGTGGTTATGAACGATTAAAATGAAACTTTAGATTTAACTGATAGTACGAGACCATCCATCTATCAAATCAAATTACTGGCTTCCACGACTATGTTATAGTGCGGACACTATTGAATATTATCTATTTGAATCTACTTGAAAATTATCTAGTCTCAGTGAAACAACTATTCAATGTTTCTTTGTTATGATTGTTTTTGTTAGAGGCATTTTGATGATATATCTTCCTCATCTAAGATAAATTAAGCATCAGAACTAGTGTTATGACACTGTCAACTAATCGTAGTGGTTATGACAAGTGTTTTAAATGCTCATCACAGTATAGATTGATTTCATCAAGATAGCCCTTAATTTTAGTGATATCACTTTAGTTCTAAATATTATAATTGTGCAAATTCTTTTTTTTTTTTCATTTATCAAAGGGCATGTCCACATCAGTCGGAAAGTACCCTGATTCATTAATTTATAAACCTCCTCTTATCACACACAATTATTGTTCAACGTGTTATTCGTGGCCGGAAGATAACAAAATGTGTAAAAAAGAATATAATTCCTCGATACCATTAAGTTTAAATTCTTCGAAGTGTATTTTTTCTCAAGATTCACTCAATGTTTATTTAGTTAGTGATTCTTCAGTATGGCCAGATAATCACTCAAATCAACTTGTAAGTTTGATTGTATTTGTTTATTTAATAAGTTCTAAATGTTATATTTTCATTCAAAGCTCTGTTATTAACTTGTCTTGGAAACTATTTCTGTTTCTACAGTTGAGTTTGCACGCTTATCGATTAAGCTATTCTGATATCGTAGGATCACATCGTTCAAAGTCGATACAATTCAGTTCATTATAGAAAACTAATAAAGGTGAGAATAAAGAAAGTTTAAATAATTGTATCATTAATGATTGAAACGATGTAGAAAAAGCTTTCAGTCAGTCATCATTAACATACAGTCCAGCACAGGTTTGCATAAGATCAGGTTGCCATACCACATTAGCACGATGAGATAAATTTAACAAAATAAAGAGTGAATGCATCTAAGCCATTGTGAAGAATTTTGAGTCATCTCACACTAATTCTTCAATCATTGTTCATGTTTATCATGTGTACTCAAACCAAGTGATTTGCATTTACGAATGCGGTTCAGAACAACAACTTCATAAGTTCATACTTTAATGTCACGTGATTTTAGGATTTTAGAGACATCTATTACCCGATTCTACATAGGGCTCGGACATTAAAAGCCATAACATACACTTTGTAACTTAATTTCAGAAGATGTGAGTCAGAGTTTTGTGAACTCGAATCATTGATACAGGTGGTAAAAATGTAAAAGACATCGAATACAAGAGGACCAGGATTTATAGTTCAAATAGAAAGTACAGTTATAAAAGAAAGAAGGATATCAGAGGTTGTAAAATGAGAAGCAAGAGTTATTATTAATGGTTAAATCTTAATTTTTTTCGTTATTTAATTAAAAATTCCTTTATCTCCCGGTCAGTTTTATTGTCTTTTGACCTCACTTCATTTGAGGTATAATATCGATTGCTCAGTTTCATGAACAATAATCAGATGAAAGCACAATCTATCATTGTCCATCATATATCAATCATCATTCTATTTGTCATTTCCAACTGACTCGTGCTCATGAAATTCTAAAAGTTGGATGAAAAACAAAAGACTCATCTACAACGCTGTGACTTGTTTTAATAAACTGTATGCATCTTAACACTCCTTAGAAACGACACTGAGAACCAACCAAAACAATAAATAAAGAAGCTCTGGAAGGTGTGGAAACCTTTGCATGTCTGGGCAGAATAACTGATAAAAAAAAGAGGAATCTGAAACAGATGTAAAGACATGGATTGGCAATACAAAGGCACCATTTCTACGATTGAAGAACATTTGCAACTCGAATTAACTGTCTCTCAACCAACACAAAAGTCAAAATTTTCAATACAAACAACAAGACAGTTCTTTTGTATAGAGCGGAAACCTGGGTAACTACGAAAGCCTTCATCCAAAAGGTAAAGGTGTTTAGTAAGATTGGTTCACGCAAAATACTGCGAATCCGTTAGCCATTCGGACACCATCACTAAGAGCCTACTGTGGGAGGGAACAAACCGGATTCCAGCGGAGGAGGATTTAGGCAAAAGCACTGAAAGTAGATAGGATACACATTGAGGAAATCACTCAGTTGCACCGCAAGACAAGCCTCATTTTGGAATCCTCAAGGTCACAGGAGAAGAGGCATACCAAAAAACATATTGAGGTGTGAGTAGGAGACAGAAATAAAAAGAATGACTTGAGATTGGGAACGACTAGAAAGGGAAGTGGAGGACAGAGAAGGTTGGAGAATGCTGGCCGTCGGCCTATGCTCCACATTGAGTAACAGGCGTTAGTTAAAAAGTAAGCATTTTACCTCAAAGTGATACGATTCATATGCTGATCATTAAAATTTCTCCGGATGACAGACATAAATCATCAATATATTTGTTTCAAAAATGTAATTTTTCTAATATTTCTGACCATTATTTATTATAGCCGGATGGTGCTGAGAGAATAAACCACAACTGTTCAGGTGAAAAATATTCTCATGATATCCAACTATCACCACTTTATGTTAAAAGTAAAGACACTTGGGTTCCGTCACTATTATATAGACGTCCATCTTTCTTCTCATGTATTCAGCTGACATACCTTGCAATGTTGCAAGATATTCGAGCTTCTTATTTGCACTGGGTGAGTGTACTATATTTTTAAGCTCCCAGTTTAATATATGTATGTTTTATTGTTGAGTAGTTTTCAGAGAAGCGGAAAAAATAATCTCTTCATTAACAAATGGATTTAATTTTGGCAAGGAAATCAAAATCCTACACTTGTTTTAATGATAATTGACTGATTCTATCAGTTATTTCAAAATTGAGAAATTACATAGTTAAAATAAATTGGTAAGAAACCTAAAACACTTACTGCACAAAAGCAACATTTTTTTCACCAGTTTTTTTCTCTACCAATATAATATTCAGTATCTATTTGTTTGTTAATTACAAACTCAAGATATATTTGATTTCAATAGGATATTTCAAAATAAATGAAATCCAGTACATAAAACATTTGTTTTTGTTCTTTTCAATTACAAATTATTATTGTTATGCCGCATACCTTACAAATATCTATTATCTTGAGCTGTTTCGATCGAATGGGAAGTATTCTTTTCTTAGAATTTATTGATCAAACCTAGGTACATAAATTGAAATTCTTCCTATTGTTATCGTACTACTGAGTAACAAATAGTAGTATGTCTAGCTTAACCAAAAATTTCTCACATTAAGAAGCAGTAACGACTTTTGGTGCAAGGAAAGTCGAAATCTATTCACAATGATCACAATTTTCACTCTTTTTTTTTAAAAAAAGTATTTATCTATTATTACCTTACATTGTTTACTTTCGATATTCATTTTTCCACTGTTTCTGTTTTTATTTTTAAATTTTTAGACATTAATATCACGTAATACTAGTAAAATGAATTGTTTAATTAATTCATCAAATTTTGTTTATCCCACATATCAAATTGATCCTGTAGATGAAGATACTGGTGAGTTAAATGGAAATAATTCTTCTGTATCTTCATTACACAGTTCATATGATGATGATGATGATGATGAAACTGCAGCTATCCTAACTAGTCCAGATAGTTTAGATTCAAATTCATCTCCTGAAGATTTATTAGTTCATCGACTTTCTGGTCAATGTCATACTTCATTTGATCATACAGAATGGGAAGAATATATAGCACCTAATGTACAGACTGTTATAGGTGATGTAAATTCAGATTGTAATAGAATAAATGAAAAACCACAACATCGTGTAATTGCACATTTGGAAGAGGTTGTATTTGATGTAAGTAGTAATGCAGTATAATGTAAAATTGTACTATTTTTTTTCCCTATGAATACATGTTATTTCTGTATTTATTTTAATTTTATCAAATTTTTAACTTAGTTTATTGAATTTAAATGTGTTCCAAACATTAGATGAATTGAATTATAAATAATTTTAACAACTTGTATGCATAGACCATCATCAACTAGATATTTAGGATTAATTATATTTATGACAATAAATTAACTAGCGGGAACGGTCCCATCACATCCACTGACCATAGATCACCAGCTTCAGTTATAGGAACTGACTGCGATGGCGGCTATATGTATCGATTACTTTTCATTGGTTGGCACCGCTGGAAAGTCAACACATACTGCGCCACATCGTCTCTCATGCCTGGCCAATGCGCACTTTGTCTTACTAGATTAGTCGTTCGTGTGATACCTGTATGAGCTACCTGGTGACACCCCTGTATCATCTTATGCCGCAAATTCTTCGGGATCACTGCCACCCAATTTTCATCATCATCTCGCCAGATCAGGGCTCCATGTGTGCTGATCCTCAGTCTGTCCTTTTGTCGAAGCAGCATTAATACCTCATTATTCATCTGCCGTTCGTCAATATCTACCCCTTTTTTATCTCACTGATCACCTCTCGAAGGTTAGGGTCAGCCTTTTGCTGCCGGACAAGTTCTAGTGGGTCTCCGTCAAGGCTGTTCACTGCGTATGCTGTCATTGGGAGCTCAGCATCCATCTCCGGCCTCGATAAGTAGTCCGCCACTAAATTTTCTCTTCATGGAACGTGGCCGATACTGAAGTCGTACTCCTGCAGACGTATCATCCATTGCGCCAACTTACCACGGGGGTCTTTTGCTGTCTTCAGCCACTGCAGGGGTTTATGATCACTCTCGACATGAAACCGTCTACCTTGCAGGTATGGCCTCCATTTTTCTATTGCCCAGTAAATCGCTAAACACTCTTTTTCGATCGTTGGATACTTCTGCTCAGAGGGTGTGAGAACACGACTCACATATTCTATCACACTGTTAGATTGACTTAAGACGGCGCCTATTCCACGGTCACTCGCATCTGTTGCCACTGTAAACAGCTCTTCAGGTTCAGGTAATCGTAGTGTCACTCGGCGGTCGTCCAATAGGTTTTTGATACGGTCGAACGTTTGCTGGGCAGTCTCTGTCCACGTAAACCTAGTGTCGCTTAACAACTTATAGAGGGGTGCTGCTTCTTCGTTAAAGTTCTTGACAAATCAACTGTAGAACGCCGCCCTTCCAAGAAACTGTCTCAGCTTCCTTTTGGAATTAGGTACCGCGATGTTCTTTATGGCTAGGATTTTCCTCGGCAACGGTTTTATTTCTCCATTTCCAACTTTATGCCCCAACAAGATGACACTACTATTCGCTATTTGTGATTTGTCCTTATTAATTCGTAGTCCGAATTCTTCAATCCTGAAATACGTACAATTACTGATATGGTTAATGTTAGTTGTACAACTACTCTACAAATTAATACATAAAGGGCTGCTCATCTCAATAACATGAAAAATAAGCTTTATGATGAATAAATATGTCAGTAAATGTATAAATTAAGTTTAGTTTTAATCTTGTTATTTCTATATACTTTTATTTTATTTTTTTCTAAAGATCCCACTGAATAATCTACTTCGTGAAAAGAAATGTACATATAATAGTTCTTCTCCAGTACTTGCTCCATTCTTTCCTCCTGATGAACCGGATTTATTGTTTATTTACTATATCAAAAATGATCTTGATTCGAATATAATATACGAAACATCTGATGAATTGAGTACAATAAATCTTATTGAAATTATAGATATAACTACTGGATATAGAATTCCAGTACCATCAAAAGATGAATTACCTAATGAGTATATACATTCAACTGGATTTAATAGTTCTGTTCTCAAGAGGCTAACATCTTGTTGCCCTCAAAACTACAAAGTTTCATCATCATCATCGTCATCATCATCATCTCAATGTAGAAAGAAATTAATTCATGAACTAAATAACTGTCTTATGGCTGGACGATTAGAAAGTTTAAAATTGTTAGTTGATCCACAAGGTGGTTATTCTGTATATTGGTAGATCGATTGTACAATGATTATTTTTTTATACAAAATTTTCTTATTAGATCTATCTATGTATTATATGTTTGATTTTTTGTTTTTGATTGTTTCACTATGAAATAAAAAAGAATCTTACTACTTAGAGTTTTATTTTGATTGTTCATTGTGTGTTTGCGTTCATATATATATATATATATATATATATATATATATATATATATATATATGTTTGCTGGTCAGTAACTCTACCCTCCCTCCTTTTGTGTTGTTAGGCTCATGTTCAATGTTTAAAAGAAATTATTTCGTGTTCTACTTTGTGCTCTATGTCTCACATCCTGTTGAGAAACACTATTTCTGCAAGTTCCTTTCACAAACTCGTCTGGCTGTTACAACTTATGAACTATTGGTTAGGCATCAATGCTATACAGTTAACAGTTATGGAGAAATAGTAAGAATTTTCAAACAAGATATAAGCATTTAGAATGTAGTGGGGAAGATGTACTTAACTAGCTAAGCAGAAGATATAAAGAGTATCACGGTTAAAAGTTGAGCAATAGATAACACTAAGGGGCCAAGGTAAGTCAATAGCGTGTAAGTGAGAAAAGTATAATTGATAATAGGCAATGTGGAACTCACACAGTTGTAAGTGTTGATAAGGTTGCGCCCAGGAGAGTAGAGTGCGTTCTAATCAACCAGTTTACAGTTGAACAGTGTCGATCGACCCAGTGAGTAGAGTAACCTGTCTATTTCAAATAAAAACTAAAGAGATTTATATTCAACTAGAAAAATTTATTGCTACTACGGAGGGTAAAAATAACTAAATAAGACGCAGCACTGAGTTCATTGTGTTTATCCTTTCCAGGTACTTCAAAATTCTCGTTCAAACTACGACCCTTAGTGTTACGGGAGAAATGAAGACATTTGACTGATTAAAACCTTTATGTAAATATCATTAATTTCACTGTGTTTATTGGAATATTTCTTTTACTTATATATATATATATATATATATATATATATATATATATATATATATATATATATAAATGACATGACTCAACACCATTTGCAATGGAGCAGGTGCATTCATTCTTTGTGTTCTCTCAAATCCTAACCTTAAGAGTTCCTCATCACCTTTATCTTTTCCTTTTTAAGTTTATTTCATTAGATTCTACTTCTTGAATAATATCTTCGAACCCTAATTAATCTCTCCGGTTACTGCTAATACTTTTACTACCTCTACTACTATGGGATTTAAGTTGACAATTGCATCTCTGTGTGCTAATGTGATATGGCAACTTGAACTGATGTACATACGTACGAAGTTCTGTGTTGTTGTTGTTGTTATTGACCGACTGATATCATTTCTTGGTAAATAGTACAACACGAAAATTACAATTTATTCTTATGTAGAAAAATATCTAGTTCTCTGGTCACATGTGGTATTTCTATCGGGCTCAGGCTTAATCAATATGAATAAAGTCTTATGTAAATTCATCAAGGGAATAAATTACATGATTTATATTACTCAGTAGTTTAAGTAAAATTAGAACAAAACAGTTAGATTATACAAATCGTATGTGCTATACACTTGAAACCTCTACATTGTGTCTAAATAGCACACAAAGAATGAATCATTCATCCGTAATTTTCAGCTACATTTTTATGCTTTTACAGAAGAATTATTCTGTTTTGAATAAACCGTAATCTGAATGTAGAGCAATATGTTTTATAGTCAAATTTTCAAAAAAAACAGAAATTGTTGGTTATTTTAAGTATACAACAAATTCACAGAGTAATCTCATACATTACCTTGCTGAATGCTTAACTATATACATATTATACATACAATAGTCTTGAACCTCATTCACTGTGTTTCATATTCAACGGTTTTTAAATAAAATAAGATTTTAATCAAAACTCTAAGAAACAGTTTGAGTTGATTTAAACTAAAATCATATGTCTATACTCGTAATCTTACTTTCCTCCCAATTCAATGTCTTTCATTTGGCTTTCAATACGTTGTCGATTGTTCCTAGATTGGTTTCTTATCTATCATTACTTGTACCTTTGGAATCCTGAAAACCCCTTTCGCATAAATGAATATTCCAATATGTGTACAGATGGTCAATTGAACTTGTTCTATTCTTAGAAGAATTATTCACATTAGCGTTTGTTTAACACAACCGTTGTAAATCGGACACTGAAAGCGAACAAATGTAATATATCTGCTGAAACGAACAGACATAAATTAGTATTCTAAATCCTGTGATGGTTGAGTCGAATTTATGGATTACTCTTTTTGTGAGATAAAAATCCCACTTTAAACATAATACAGATTGAGTAAAAATAGTATTTAGCCCTTTATCGATCTACACCAACACCCATGTTTTACAAAAATTATTCAATTAAATATCACTCAAAGTATATTAGTGGTGAGTTTGATAATAATAAAAATGAATTTCATCTCAAGAATTAAGTCAAGAAAATCAATCTAATGAAGTACAAAAGTTTCATGGTTTAACAGAAGGATTATCTGATATTTAGAATTCACTAGTAGTATTCAGTGGTTAAATACTAACAGTAAGGCAAAGAGATGTAAGTTCAGATCGAAATAAGATAAATAGGCTGTTTATGCGTTGTTCCGGTCTATTGGGTATAAATGTTAAGTAAAAAGTCAATGTACGTTGTTGGTGAAGATAGTTAGAGCGTCTACATGGATGTTTGAGCAGGACATCATTTTAGTAGAATAAATACCAGTCAGTCTGATTGATTAGTAGGATAAATACCAGCAGCTCTGGTTGTATGTAGTCAAGAAAAGTTTCAGGAAACGCTGCTATATACTGATTATTTTACGATAAACAAGTTTTGAATACTTCATTTGATTTTCAATGTTAATAAATTGATTCGATATAAGGATAAAACTTTCCTCAATCACATTTTAAAACTTCTTAGTATCCGGAATCATAACTGCCTAGTTATGTATCCATTGTACCTCGCCCTACAGGAGAAGTTAAGCTTAAAAGTGAACGTTAAGAAGGGCAATTCGAACGATTTGTTTCATTTATAAGAGATAAATCTAGATGACTCTGTACTGGGAAGTAAAGCTTGTTTGAAGTTATTTCCACAAATTTTTATACAATGTTTCGAATACTTTCATAGTAGTTTTGTAAAGACTTATCTCTGCAGGTTACAAATATCAATAGATTTTAGATTGTAAAGCCTATGTATCGATGTAAGGCTATGGTAAAAGTTTGCTAGGTGAGATATAATCCACTTGATTTCTAGTTGCTTCATTTAACTTCTTCTCCGTGAGATCAGCTTAATTGTTGTTTAGGTAATGATGATTGTAATATTCAGCTACTAGTTAGATTTCGTAGATCATCCGCTTATTCCAACAGCTCACTAATCCAGTGCAGTTATTAATTAACTTCCAGTCTGGACCAATGAAATATTAATTCACTTAGCAAACTTTGTTGTAATGTCAACCATTAATCATCGTGTTTTTAGTGAATAAAGAGTCATAATCAGTCAATTTATAGTTATTATATTTATTACTAAGGAAGAGAAAACCTTCACGTGTAATCATAATCAGATATCATAAACCTTATTTTGATTTTACATTGAAATATCAATCACTCAAAAATATATATGTTAGCCTTCCTTGTAATTGAAAGGAAAACGCTGTACTCCTATTTCTAATCCTAATACCAATCAATTAGGTTATGATATCATTCTATCTAATTTTGTAAACCTGCCTCTATATTAAGTTATGATTTAGAAATAAACCAGATAATCTTTAATTTATATTTTAATCAAGAGTGCATCTCTTTAACCTTAATTCATTCAAGAGATGAAATTCACAAGAAGAATTTATTATTCAATAGAGTAAAGGATTGCTTTTTAAACGTCTTTCCTTCTGTAGAAAGGAAAGCTTTTCTTATTATATTCTAAGCAATTTACCTTAATATATGCACATTACTCATTACACAACGATTTGATCACAGGAATTATGCAAATTATCTCTCAACATTAATAATAGTATAGTGAATTATACCACTTTTTTTTACACATTGAAATCATGAATCAATCATTGTTAGACCACTGATAGAAACCTGAAGGCACTGGACAACTGTTTCATCCTGGTATCGGACTTATCAGCAGTGCGCGTCAATGACTTTTGTTACTCACAGGCTTCGAACCCAGGATATTCGGTCTTCTAATAATGGTCTAACAGTGGTTGATTCATGATTTCAATGTGTAAAAAATCAATGATCTCCATAGCTTCAACTGAAAAATTTATATCATTCTTTTTCAGAGATTTTTTAATACTTGTCTAAATTTCTAATCTGATTAAGATCGGCGTTATTTTTTCTTTTTCTACTTGTAGATTACGTCAATGCGACTCACATATGATCAGCCACATTTTTTGAACAGTTATCCAATATGAATGAAATTAATTTCTTTAATTCACTGGAAGGTAATTATGTATGTATATATTTGTATAAACGTTTCTTCTCTCTTTTATCTATAGGCAGTGGTGATACGTTACCATCATATTGTGTGTGCTGTCTTGATTATAGTTCTTTACCTATTATATTATTACATAGTCTACCTGTAAAGGTACAACGTTTAATTTTAAATCGTCTATCTCGTACAAATCTACCACAATTTATTCTAACAACGCATAAAGGAGGCCAGTGGTCTTTAGTCCAATTACATTATATCAGTAACAATAATAATAATAATAATAATAGTAATAATTCGCAAGCGATTCCATCAAGTTCTACTCCATCCCCAAATGAATCTCATATAGCTAATTCTGATATGTTGAACCATCCAAAAGATGTTGATTCAGAGTAAGTGGGGACTTTGTAATATTTTTTTTAAATATTATTATTTCTGCTTGTGTTAGGAATACAAACTTAATACATCACATTGTAAAACAGTGTTAATGAATTGAGTGATCACTGTAACTTCTTCATTTCAATGCTCTCATTAGTTTTATTGCATTGTTATACACTAATCAGTCAATTATTCACTGTCTTTGTAGTTTCTTAATACATATGGATGTAGAAATTTCGATTTCGTCAAAAATCATTGTTTAAGCTAAGTAAACGCAATGATTTGATGTTTAGTTTATCCCTTAACAGCTGCTCTGGTACACAAAAATACCTCAGCCCTATCGATAGTGATGAGCGTTCACTCTTCCCTTCGAAATGCTCTCATATAACCACGCGTATGTGGCTAATGTCAGGACAGTCCTACTCACGGCCTTCTCACAGCGAGAATATTTATAAAGTCAAGGGAATGAAAATCGAATTTCCGGCTTTTAAACCAGGTTAGTGGATACGGAAAGTCCACCTAGGGATGCACATGATGAACTTGGGTTCTATAATCCTGGTGGAACAAATGGCGCATGAACTTATTACTGATCACCGGCTACCATGATATTGCATCTCCTAACGTTGCTCCTCTGACTTATGGATTAGACCTTTAGGTCAAAGGCTCAGGAAGCGGATCCCTAGAAAACCGCTTCTTTCGGTTTGAAGATCCAAAGACTATACCAGCCGACACACAAATTATTGAATTTGTGTGGTGCACAAATGTTTAGGTGACCCTTTTTACGAATGCTTATGTGTTTAAATAATAAAAAACACCTTCAGCGATATTTAGTACGGTTCCTGTGTTAAAATGATACCTGATGATTGTATCGGTTAAAATAAACCAAGAGGCTATTTCACCTCTATGACTAGACGTTTTCAGATAAAAGTGAGTCGTATGGAATATTGCAGGTTTGTTGTGTTTTAAGCATTACACTCTCGCATAAGTATTACCGAACTCCCTGTTCTGACGTTCATTACAGGATGTTTTCTTATGTGCTACAATCTCAGTGTCTAAACCGACGCTCTGTAGATTATTAGAGGAATCGAAGTTTACTTCACACCCGACTGAAGCTGCTACCTTGACGTGGTGGTCGTGCTTGCCTATCGTGATGATCCAACCGAGCTATATTGGCTGGAACATATGTTCCTGAAGGTTCTACCATGCCAGGCAGGTCGATTGGAGAACGATGAAACTAAAAGCACCTACCCAAGGTCTGAGGGAGAAGTCGTACTGCTGACTGACTGCAGAGGGGTGTGACAGAAGTAAGGTGTTTACCTCGGATAACCAGCATGTGCAGAGATTCTGCCTTCTCACAAGGAAGGAAGGGTTAGAAAAGGTCGACCCTAAAAATGTCACACCTCACCCTACCTCACGGATTTCCGTCTCTGGCGGTAAGGGTGCCCACTAAGGGCTTTCAAGAGCGGAGCTAACACTCAAAAAAGGTCTCATAAAAAGGCCGTGCGTGACCGGCCTCAAGCAGTTGTCCCTTGGGCTCTGCGGTCACGCTCCCAGGTTTCCAAGACCAACACTAATCTATCTTCCTTTTCAGGTCCCTCAAGAAACACTCTTCCACGGTGTGGGCAACCGGGAAGTGACAACCGCCCTCACATCCGTAACAGCACACGAGACCAAATCGGTCACAATCAAATCCTTCCTACACCCCCTAGTACCTCTCTTATCTCCACGACTAACTCTTCTCACATTCTCACACGGATTACATCAAAACAAACGCTGTTTTTATTAATCTACATATTCCTAGTCCGAAAATTATAGATCAAAACGACATATGGATTCACTTGCCGAATACTTAAGTTTATCCAGTTCAAATTCAGTATTACTGAAAAAGTATATTTATTCCTCATTATTTTATAAGCTTTTGAAATTTTACTGTTGTATTATACTGCTATTATTTTAGTATATCTGCTTTTAAAAGTGTTTTATACTGTTTTCATTACAAAACGGTTGTTTTGATTGTTTCTTTATTATGTATGTATAATATTTCAGTGTTAGATCATCATCATCATCTGTGTGTACAAATTATGTTTCATCAATTGAATTCAATCTAGATTCATATACTACTGCATATTTTTCTGATTCTTATGTGAAATTTATGTTAACAACTAAAACAGCAGATAAAAATTGGCATTGTCCATTTTGTAAAGCTTGTTACAATCTTAGTAAGTTAGTTAGTTAGTTAGTTAGTTTTAAATAAAAGAGAATGTAAAATATTTTGTAATTAAATTGAATAAAAAGTATTTTGTTATTGTTTACTTCTCATGAGATCCGAACATATATTGTCATATTTTTAATTTATTATACAATGAAATTTATACTATGGAAGAAAGCTAGGGGTGGCCAAAACAAAGCATGGCACAAATCCATGAAATCACTGACAGGTGGACTGAGTCATGTTGGTAAATGTAAGCTACCTGGTTGGAGTCCGCGAAACGAAAGTCGCCGATGGTTAGAGACCTTTATTGACATGGCTTAAAATCGTTTGCAATGGCACAAGTGCATCCAATCTTTGTGTTCTCTCAAATTCTCACCTTCTGAATTCTCCTCATCATCTCTATCTCTCTCTTTTTAAATTTATTTCTCTGAATTATACTACTCGAATAATATTTTTGAACCCTAAATCTCTCCATTACGGATAATAGTTCTATCTCTACCACTATTGAATTTGAACTGACAGTTGCATTTTTGTGCTGATGCGGTACGGCAACCTGAACTTAGGTACTCATGTACGTAATTCCACGTTGTAACTGACTGACTGACTATGCTACCAAAAGTTTTTATTTAACTATATTAATCTCATTCTTTCTTAGTCAATCACAACATATACAGTTACCTAATGAACTATGTAAGCAACTGAATTAATCAACCTCTGTTCGATTTTGAATTCTATTTTCATTGATACATAGATCAAGTATTTGCTAATAAGCATTGGATTACAATAAAATCTTCTCTTTTTTTTATTCAAAATTGATCAATATTATATTCTTAATCAAAACATAAATATTCATTAGCATTTGAGTTTAAATCAAGATAAAAGTTAACCGTAGCAAAACAGTTTGCATATTATATATAACTAACTGCATGGATTGTATTTCAATGTGAAGTTTGATATGTAAATGATATGGAGAAAAGTATCAATATTTTCAAGCATCTTTTCTAAATCATTTAAAAAAAAAATTAAATTACTAAATATAATAATAAGATTAATTTGTTGAAATTTTGTTTTGACCAATTAAAATAACATAGTCTACATTGTTGATTGATCTTAGACAACAATGCACATAACAGTACTGGACGACTGTTGTTTTATGCTAGCGATCGTCTACTCAGCAGCAGCATACATCAACAGCAACCTCATCTGGGATCGAATTCAAAGCCTTTAGGTTTCCCAGCAGTCCCATAATAGAACAGAACACCAGTTCACTATTCCCTGATGTTCTATCGGTTGTCATAACTAGAATTGGTCTGTTGTGTGAACTTTGTAATTTATCAATCGCTAAAGCTCCCTTCTAATAATAAAACATTATTGAAATACTAGGAACAAGTACAATTTATTACTGTGTCGTTTTAAGACTATACATTTATATTGTCTATGTATTTTATTTAATTACATTTTAGTTAACAGTGATCAAGTGAATATTTTAGAACGACATTTACGCTTACATGCAGAAATTCGTTGTTGTATAGATTGTTTAACTATATTACCAAATAATACATATTTACTTCATAATGAATCAACATATTTACATGATTGTAATGAATTAATTAGTTCTCAAGTCAAAGATGATGATCAACAATCTCAGTGTGTTAATAATAATTCCATTGATTTACCTCATAAAGTAGTAAATTTACCTGTAACCGGTGAGTGTGAATCCTTTTTTTTAGATTTTTTATTACTACTAAAATATATTGTTATTTAGTCTCAAAATAGTCATTTCAAACAAACATTAAATTGAATCGAAACTATATGGCAATACGTATTTAAATTATATCTCTTTCATCTGATGGGCATTCTGCAAATTTTTAAAAGCGTAGTTTTGTGACCATGAAGTGTACTAAACAACTAGCTTGTTTCTAGCATTAAAGGAAAATGGATACTATTAATGTCTTATTCATAAATATAGAGAAATATGTAAGCATAGCAATGGTGCTTCCTACGTAGATTGTCTTTTTCCTCAGTTATATTAATTTGGTCGGCTGTTGGCTTATATAAACAGTTAATACCAGTATCTGTTATGAAATAGATCTGGGCAACTCAAATTTACACAAATATGTCATCTTTATAACTGAATGTTTTAAGTGTTGGACATATTTCTTGGAAATTTATTGTAGCTCAAACTGTGTTTTCAAGTTTATTCATAGTTACTATTTGTGACTATTGTTTTGAGGCTTCTCTACTATACTAAACGTATATGTTGGGGAGCATATCAATATAGTGCTGAATTAGGTAATTTTATTGTAATATACCGTGTACAGCGCAAACTATGGTACATATATCTAGTAAACAACCTAACAATCTGAAGCAACTAGATTGTATATTTTATATATTTTATTTTTGAACTGAACCCTGGAATAAACAAGCGACGTACCTGCGCATGTGACCCTATGACGGAGGAAAGGTGGTTGACCAACATTCTTCAATCTACTCTGTCCTTCACTCTCCTTTCCAGTCGTTCCCATTCTCTAGTCATTTTTCTATGTCTACTTCCAATTCCCACCTCAATGTGTTCTTTCTCTGCTTCTTTTCCTTTCACCTTGAGGATTCCGAGATAGGGCTAGCGTCTTGATGCGGTTTTGCGATTTCCTATCCACTTCTAATGCATTTTCGTAAATCTTGCTCAGCTGGAATCTGGTTTGTTCTCTCTCATAGCAGGTTGTTGTTGGTGTGTGGTCGACGGTTTGATTTATCTTGCGTAGACGATTGTCAATGAACACCTGAATCTTTTGGATTATGGCTTTCGTAGTTCTTCAAGTTTTCGTTCCGTAAAATAAAACTCTGTTGAAGTTTGTGTTGAAAATTGGGACTTCTGTGTTGGTTGACAGATAATTATTTTGAGTTGCAGATGTTCTTCATTTGTAGAAATACTGCCCTCGCTTTGCTAATCCGTGTCTTCATATCTGCTCTAGATCTTTCCTATTTATCAGTTATACTGCTCAGGTATGTAAAAGTTTCAAACGCTATTTGGAACGAACAAACCAGTGTTCTGTCATATTCACGAGTGCGTATACATAATATTCTAGAATTCAAGAAATCGTAATCGAGGTAGAATAACTGTTCATGTATTTCAACGAAATACGACCCTAAAATACAGGAAAATGAGCGAACTATAAGTGGTAAAGATCAATCAGAAATCGCAAAGACTGTGGGGCAATATGAATCATGAAATTTGTTGTTGAGTTTACCGTTACTGGAAGTAAATTTACACTCATCAACTACGTTTAGACGACTTGGGTCACTGTCAGAAAGTCCCAATCTACTAGTCCAATTATTTGACAAAGTACCTAAACATTGTAAAAGCCGATTACTCAAACACTATTATACGAGTCAGTGCTTACGGCTAACTGTCACCGAAATTGTCAATTTCGATTGGTGTTCTTCAGAGTTACCAGCTCCTCCTCTTTCTATTTAAATTCATCATCCTCATCCTTATGGAAACTACACCTTCCTCATCAAAATACCCACTCGTTGAGGTCCCTCTAGGAGTTCACTTGTCGTCACAGAAGACGCCGACAACTTGATGAAGACATTGCATTTCGGTCTCCTTGAACAGCAATATAATCATGCTTGGGACTCATTTCTCCCTATTTAAGTACAAAATACTGCTTTAGGTTTGGTCTCTACCGACGTCTAAATTAATGATGAGGAGTGAGGTAGTTGATTGCTTCCCTCACTTCATTTATCTCAGAAGTTTGACCAGCCCTAGTGGGTTGGTGTCTGACGAAATTTCAGCACCGATTCTGAAAGCTTGGTTGGCTTCTGCTCAGTCTCGTCACTAGTTGCGCAGGTAAGTTGTTCGTCTGTCAGCGAAAATACACGTTTACTGTTTGTCAGTCAGCTCTACGTCATTTATGGTCGTGAATCATGGGCTTTGAAATTAAGAGGCATATATAGTCTACATTATTTTGGTCTTAGCTGTATTCGAAGCATTGTTCTTGAGATGGTGGAGAAAACTTGTAGCTCAGGTGGATGATTGTGGTGGTGTTTTGTTCTCTGAGCTGGTTGTTTTGGTTGTGGAGCTTTCATTGTTCTTCTGAACAACATCATCACCACCAGAAGCATTGTTCGCCTGTTATGAAACGACCTAGTGAGTGATGTTGAAGTCTTGCATAGGATATTAGGCGGGGATGGGAAGTCGTGTTATGAGGTCGAAAGTCTTCAAATGGAGTTACTAAAACGTGCGTAGCGTATGCTTGGACATTGCCTACCTCGACGGACGATCGTAACTGATGTAGAGGTAGGTTGGTGGAAAGTTAGTAGTGACCGAACCAAGTTGAAATCAGTGAAATATGTTGGGAGATACAGACTACTCGATTGGGGTCCAAACAATAACCGTGATCACTGGTTGGAGACTGTGGTACATCTGGTAATCGTCCACAAAGAGGTGGGTGCCTTTATTCCTTAGCTTCCCTGAGAACTCCAATTATTTCTTTATAAATACTGATTCTTCTGTTTTTTAAACTATTTCTTAGTATTTAGTCTTTCTTCTTACTATCAGTGCTATATTAGTTTAATTTCTATTACACTATCTCATAATACTGACCTCGTCCTGCTAAATGTAATATAGCTAGTTGGTTCAGAGCATGTGTTGCAGACTCTACGTTAATGATAACTAAGTCTAATTAATCATCTTTTATACTGCAAAATTTGAAACTCACTAAGTAATCTTATAGAAAAATCTTTTATGAATGATGTAAGAGTTGTTTCAGATTCGTACACATAGTTCCCTTTATCATTTTGGACAGAGCGAGAATAAAGATGTGAGCGGAATAAAATGAATTCATTTTATTTCGTTTGCTTCTCATCATATGCTAACAATCTGTAATATTTAAATTGCTCACATGAAAGAGTTTAGTTGGAAGTTGCTATGATCATACATCAGTAACAGTGTAATTTGTTCACAGATTTGACTCTTAACTTTGACATCCGAAATTACTGCAATAAATCCTCTTATCAGTCACCTAAAATTGAAATATAATTTCGTGTCCAGATAATCCCACAGTTTTATGTCTGCGGCCGAATATTCACCCTTTTTTTAAAACTGAAACGTCCGGCTCCATACATCTTCCTACCGCTAGTAGGTAAGGAGTTACACAAATTGGTTTCTTCAAACCTATTAAATATTCACCCTGGGCAGTTCCAATAGTCATTGTTCAAAAGGCCAATAAATCATTACTTCGGTGTGCTAACTTCTTGAAAGGTTTGAATAATGCATTGAAAGATCATTCATATGCGCATCCTGCACCAGAAGATATCTTCACATAACTTAATGGCGGGAAGTAGTTTACTAAGATGGACGTAGCAGATTCATACCTTCAAGTTGAAGTGGATAAATCTCTAAAACAATCAACATCACTATTAATACTTATAATGGGTTGTATCAGTATCGGCAATTGGCTTTCGGTATAAAAACAGCTCCAGCAATATTCTAAAACATTATGAATATTGTGACAGGTGTAATACCATGGGTTGCTCCCTACTTAGATGACATCATTGTTAATAGAATTTCTCAGGGGGTGTTCTGTAAACTTGATAATAGCCTGTCAAACTTCAATCAATCTGGTTACTACTCATTTGAAGTTAAGTGCGAATGCTTCATGAAAACCATCAAGTACCTCGGGTTCGTAATTTACAATATCAGTGCGTTTAGACAAATGCCAGTACCACAAGAAGTTTGTGAGTTGCGATCATTTTCGAGTGTGATCGTTTATGAAATGCTTCCGCCCCATCTATACATAAACTGAGACACCCTTTGAATCAACTCTTGTTCGATGGTGCAAAGTGACGACGGTCTAAGAAGTGCCAATGATTGTTTGACAGATTAAGGGAAATATTATCGTCTGATTTACTATTAGTACACTATAATCCTAAATTTGTTACGGAAGCCTCAAATTATGGTATTGGAGCGATTATCTCGCATGTTTTTCCCAAAGGTACAGAGAAGGCTATTTGTCATGCTTAACCGAGACTCACACGGACAGAACGCAATTATAATTAAATTGAAAGGAAAGGACTTTCCCTAATTTCCTCTGTCAAGAAGTTTCAAAAAATGCTGCATAGTCAATGTTTACCATTGTTTACAGACCATAAACAACTTTTTGCGATTGTTTGAATCTAAAAATGGAGTCTTAGTTTACATAACGAACCGTTTACAGAGGTGGACGGTGATCTGGCTGGGTTGGAATTTTCATAACAAATACAAATCTACAAACTCTTTTGGTCATGTGGATACCATTTATCTAATCTTCTTGTTAACTTAGCAAGGACAATTAGGTTGACTTTGTTAAAACATTCATCCAATATCTTAGGAGAATTATTTGTCAATTCCAATTGGTTAATTCCTACTGGTCAATTTTATGGTCGTCCTAGATATCAGTGTCACGTACTCCAATGTTGTTTCTTATTGGTTTTCCTGACTATCAATATCACTCCAAATGTTGCTTCCTATTGGTCGTTTTAACTGTCAATGTCACAGACTTCGATGCTGTTTCCTAATCGACCAAAATGTATAAATACGCATTATCTGTAACGTTTTATGACCCGGATCAGGACCAGGATCCGGATCTCTATTCCGGGGTCCTGGTTCCCTTCTGGACTCTGACCTCATACTTTCTGGATGCTTGTAGAATACAGGTTCTACTTCATATCAAGTCTTCTTATATTTTTGCTCAATATGGGGGTCGGGATAATCGGATTTGAGTAGCATGTCGTGTCGCCGGATCCTCGATCCTCGCTCTAGGTAAACTCGTAATAGTTCAAGCATACCAAGTTGACGTGTTTACGTGCAGGCGTAACAGATTTTCATAAATCAAATATCATTATAATACAAATTATCATTTCAAATTTGTCCTGTTTTAAAAGTAAGTTTCAAGAGAACAGAAATTCCTTTTGTGACATCTAATCTTCAAGTGACTTCTAAATATTGTTGTGCTACTTTTCAGTTAAATTAAAAATATTAAGCTGTTAAAAATTATTCTGTTCTTACAATCTCTCTTTCCTCAAAACACTAGAATAAAATAGAATCTACTCAGTTTTATAGAGAAGCCTATTGAATAAGAATAAAGATGTGCTCGATAAGTTTGTAAAATCTTCCTCTCAAAAAGCGATTATTTTGTATTGATTGATTTTCGTTAATTTTTACTTTTCCTTATTTGTACTTGTTGATTGTATTTCGAGAACGTTGTCTATTACATTTCAAGTAATACTTACTTTCTAATGCATTTTTTTAAAGCTTTTATTGTACTATACATATAACTAATATTTCATCATTTAGATCTTAAACTATCCTCTCAATCGACCATTTCCAATTCAAATCTTATTCGTATAAATAATCATAGTGATCAACTAGAAACTATTGATGCATTTTCCACATGTCGTCACCATGATAATAATCAAATTCAATCTAAGAAATGCAATACACCATTGAATTCGATTGGTAAGACTACATCGCATACATATTTCAATAATGGGAATCGGAGACGAATTTGTACAGTAGGTTTAATGATTTTTGTTTGTTTAACAGGTTTTTATTTTAATGTCATATCTTTAGGATATTTATTATTTGATGTTGATAATTTTTTGATAACTTTTTGTCTGTTTAAATATTTCACTCTATATTCTGTACTTTTCTTTGCGACATTCTTGATGAAATTAGGGCAAAACTGCTAATTCCTAGTGGCTTATCGAGTTGACTTTGATTGTATTATTGATTAAGAGTAGCCCATCAGCTAACCTATAAAATCTAGTCATTTTTTTAAAGTATTAATTATTGCCAACTAATTTTATATTTTAATAGGCCGAGATAAGACTCCAATTTAGACGAATGATTAAATATGATAGGAAAACAAATCTTGTGTTTCATTCTGTATGTTTCACCTACGCTAAGTCCCTTTTAGCGACGGCCTTAAACGAGACGTGAAATACGGACTAAGTGTGATGAATTTATTTCATACACTTGCCTATACAGACAAACTCTAGGATGAGGAGAGGAGACGACGAGTTGACCAGCACTTCCGTGTTAATCATAACAAGCGTTAATGTTAGCTGAAAGTAGGTAATACACAGTGTGAATGCGATACAGGCATTGGTTTAAAAATGAGTAACAGACATACGTTTAAGGCACATACGTTTAGTATTACAAGGACATGTATATCAGATGTTTGTGTAATGAAGCGCATAGTTTCCTATTCTATGGAATGATTAAAGTTGACAAGATGGTCAAAACGACCTAGTAGTCACATGCTCTCTGAGTTATCAAGTTAGGTCCAAACGTTAGGATATATCATACAAATACTTCGTGTTATTTCCTGCTACAATGGGTATATCATCCGTTTATATTTCATCATAGTGACGTTTTATGTCATTTCCTAAACAGATCTAGGTACTTGGCATCACAATTATAAGTGCCATAAAAATGATCTTTATTCAAGCCTAAACTAGAACTTTATACTACATCTATCAGTAGAAACTGCATAATTTACCATAACGCAACTTTTCAAATAACAAGAGAAATTCCAAATATTATTTGTGAAAGTTTCTCCCTCTGTATTTTTTTCTTGAGAATGCATTGAAATATCATTAATTGAATTATTGTTGTGTCTGGTTGGACGTGTACCTGAATCACTCAACGCTAGTTTTTCAATCAGTTAGCATGTGAATACACCTTATAATACTATAACATTAGACTGCTATTATTAATAAATATGTATCGAATTTACTAAACTGTACAATTACTTCTAAACAAATTCATTTTGTACATTAATTATATTCACATCCTTAATTCAATGCCCTTTTCAGATGTTTCTTTGACTTTTGTTTACTTATTCGTTTGTAGAAGTGTAAAATCAGCTTTAAAACACCAGCACACTATCAACAACATTTGAAAAATGTTCATCGTGGTAAAAAGTTTCTTTGTCAAGATTGTGGTAGGTTACATTGTATTATGAAATAGAAAACGAACATTTAACGTGATTATTCTTAAATCACAGTTTGTTGGTGAAATTCTCTTTGTTTTATACTTACATATTAGTCATGGTTTAAAATGAATGGTTGATTTCAGCACTTGAAAATATTATTTGTGCTGAATAATTTTTAAAAATGTAACGCACTTAAAAAGTAGAAGTTTATGTATTCAACCTTCAGCCATATTGTGTTTTCAAGGTCAAGTGATACTGTACCATTATCCAAAGTTGAAATAGATATGACGGGGTTTTAATCTGGAACTTGTTAGTTTAAAGCCGAATGTTTCAACCATCAACCCATCATTATCATCGTTGCCCTTCAAAATATTAGTATGGAAAAATATTCTTAATTTCAGGCAGTTTTCATCAGGGATAGTCTTATCATGATTTTCGTTTCATGATACTATCTATTTAACAGTTGTTTGGGTGTTCTATCAACACTATATGTTATTATTTCTATGCATGATTTTCTATCAGTTCACTTCAATATTTGATTACTTTTCTTATAGTAGTGAATACTTTCCTTGTTGAAAATTTTTATGTCTTCCTATTATATTTCCGTGTTGTTCAATATGTTAGTAAATTTAATCTAGTCCGAACATTGTTTCACCTCAGCCATTCAATCATAACGAACGTAGGGCCCGACAAAAACGTGGTTTAGTCCCGAATTTCCATTCCATATTTGTTTCCCATATCTAAATGTTAAATACCAATTGGAATTAGATTTCAACACTAAACGCGTAATTCATAGTGTTGTGATGTATGAATTTTTTTCATAATCGTTCAGTTATTACCTGCTTATGTCATATACAAAATATCAATCTTGTTGTAAACCAGCAATCAAATAAAAAGTGGTCTATGGCCCCATTCTGTATTGTAAGCTAGTTATTACTATCCTCATTTGCAAATATATGTAAACAAAAGTGTTGGTCTTGAAGCTTAGTAACAGGCAATCAACCAATCATAAAAGGACAGCTGAATTTTGTTTTTCCGATCAGGGACAATGTTATGAAGAATAGAACTATGAGATAATGACGCTTTAATGTGACGACAGTTAACTACATAGGTTACTAAAACGAGATAGCCCTATCACCATGAATTACTTGCATTATTGTTGTAAAATTATCTTGCAGTACGTTTGTTTGAATAACTTATTTATTTTATTATGCGGGTGAATTGTACCTGTTTTGTCTGATTTAATTTAGGCGCCTTGTTCAGTACAAAAGGGAATCTAACGACACATTTTAATCAAGTTCATAATCAAAATGCCAGTTTACCTTGTCCGATCTGTGAAAAATATCTTAGTAATAGGTAATTTCACATGTCTATTATTTTTACTTCATCTATTATATACTTGAAGACAGTAAGAATAAAAATTTTGATTTCTCCTTCAGGCTAATATCGAATTTTGCATTGTTTGTTCAGTAATAAGATTAGTGGAGGGGATTTATGAAGATGATTGAATTTGATAGTGTCAACAATTAATTCAAGTAAGAGACGGAAACTATTGGATGCTGACCCAACGGTCTAAAGGATAAACACTCATTGTGAAATCTGAAAATCCTGAGTTCGATGCCAGTGGAGTCGTGTACGCGCACTCCTATGTTCTATATCAGGATAAAATATCTGATCAGTGCTTTCTGATTTTCATCTGTTATCCAGTTAACGCTTCTAAATAATTTAAACCATAAAATTCACATTTTTAACAGAATTTGTTTACATATCTTTTACACTTCATTATGCTAATTTCTGTGAATTAACTTTTTCTGTTATTTTTAACTGAATAAATAATCATCGTTTTTGAAAAAAATTATGTTTAAAGAAATTAAATATCGATCTAAATTTTTGACGGAGATATTTATTCACTCAAAATAAATGAATCGAATGCTGATCGATAAATAAGGCCGAATATAACCGTCTAATAAACTGCTCATGAAACTGGATGAACAACTCAATCATTAATAGATGCTGACAGCATAATTAACTAACTATAGTAATTGGTTAATTATCAATGAAATCGACTGACAATTTGAAATTACAACAAGTGGTATACACATTGTAAAATAATCAACACTAACTTTAAGAAAAAAATAGGCTTTTACAACTTGAATGCAATAATTATTTAGTTTGTTTATTTGTAAGAACTGTTTGAATCGTATCGTTTGTGTTAAGAATTTCACTTGGTTAGTTTCGTTTGGCTTATATACAACTTTTGTGTGAACTATTTTGTTATCGCTGCCAAGTCTCAGTGTAAATTTCAACACTGGTATACAAGCTGGGGAATCTCAAATGAGACAAAACACACACCCTGGATTTCACTGATAGTTATTTATCATCCATCTCTGTTTAAGAGTGATTAATTAGTTGGAGAAAATATTAATTGAGGTCCTTTGAAGTACAATCTCTATTTATTCACTTATAACATGAAAGTTACTACTGACATTAAGATTTATATTACGAAATTACATCATTACGAATTTGAAATGTGCTTGTACGTAATTTATTCTCGTTAAATTTTTTCGGCTTCGGACCCTGTATAGGCGTTTCCGAGACGCAGCACACATCGATGGCACTAGATTCTTAAGTCCTAGCTAATGATGCCTGTTGCCCTATTTGACATAATGTCCTACATGCTCCAACATGTAGTCTAGAGCGGGGTTTAAGGAGACCAGGAACGACGTTTCGCGAACTCACATCGTCTGCATTAGCTGTGCACTGTGATAAATGAATGTGAGAAGAGTTAGTCGTGGAGATAAGAGAGTTGCTATGGGGTGTAGGAACGATTTGATTGTGACCGATTTGGTCTCGTGTGCTGGTACGGGTATGAGGGCGGTTATCACTTCCCGGCTGCCCACACCGTGGAAGGTTGTTTCTAGAGGAACCTAAAAAGGGAGATAGATTAGTGTTGGTCTTAACGACCTGGCAGCGTGATCGCAGAACCCAAGGTACAACTGCTTGAGGCCGGTCACACACGGCCTTTTTATGAAAGCTTTTTTGAGGATTAGCTCCGCTCTTAAAGGCCCTTAGTGGGCACCCTCACCGACAGAGACGGAAATCCGTGAGGTGTGACATTTCTAGGGCTTACCTTTTCTAACCCTACCTTCCTTGTAAGAAGGCAGCATCGTTGCAGATGCTGGTTATCCGAGGGAAACACCTTACTGCTGTCACACCCCTCTGCAGTCAGCAGTACGACTTCTCCCTCAGACCTTGAGTAGCTGCTTTTAGTCTCATCGCTCTCCAATCGACCTGCCTGGCATGGTAGAACCTTCAGGAACATATGTTCCAGCCAATATAGCTCGGTTGGGTCATGACGATAGGCAAGCCCGACCACCACGTCAAGGTAGCAGCTTCGGTCGGGCTGTTGTTGCGCTTTTGGCTTTAAAATTTCGGTTTAGATAAATGCATCAAGCTCTTGCCTTATATTTTTTATTTAAAATAATAATGCTTTTTTTTTAATTAAAGCAATAGTTGTAAGCTACCTATTTGTTTCTTTCATTATCTTTATATGAAATCTATTTTTAATTTAATTAGATTTAATCTAGATCGTCATATACGTTTAGTTCATTCAAATGATGAACTTTCCTCAAATGTATCATCCCTAAAAACAAATAACAACATCTCAACGTCTGAATCTAATGAATGTACAAATTTAAATAACTCAATGATTGTTTCTAATTTAAATGAACCTACACGTGGTTATTATCTTTATTTATCTGATTCGAATTGTCAACAACCAATCAATGCAACCACACCAACAACATCATCATCATCATTATACATTGATTCCATTGAAAATACACAACAACAATCTGTATTAGAATTCATTTCTTCTTCAACAATGAATTCAAAATCTGTTTCATTAGTAGCCGATGTCAGTTTAACACCATGTCTTCCATCTAATCCAGATGCTCAACGTGGTGTCGGTGGTAGAACATGGAAGCAAAATATAAATATTGTACAATCTACAAATTGTATTTCTAAAAATTCTGATTCATGTTAAATTTGATTGCTTAATGGTTGTTGTTGTTGTTGTCTCGAATTCTTGTTATAAAAAAAAATATTTAAAGTGTACTACTCTATGACAGCTTTATTTATACTTTAGTTATCTTTGTACATAGTATAGTAAACTATAACTTGATTTTACTTCAAAATATTGACAAAATAAAATTTGAAGATTTTCATTAATGAATAAAAAAACAACAATCGATTGATTCGAAAATGAATTTATTTTCGGGGCCAGAGTTTTGGAGGTTTGTGTTTTTAACACATTTGAAATCATCAATCAATTAATCATTGTTAGACCACTATCGTAAACAGTGCTCACTAGTGACTAGCTGCTTCATGAGGAAATTTTCGGAGTTCTATTTGGGAAGACTTGACCAATGGAGTTAAACTCTGTCGGGTGTAGGCAGTAACTACCAAAGACAAATGGGTGAGGTCGCGCAAAATCCCTAGATCAATCAGAGTTAGACATTAACACCGTTGAATGCCGGCTCAGTGGTCCGATGGTAAGGCGTTCGCGCACAATACCGATTGTCCCGGGTTCGAATCCTGTGAGGATCAGGACTCGTGGATGTGCGCTGCCGAGGAGTCCCATACCAGGACGAAACGGCCGTCCAGTGCTTCCAGGTGTCTAATAGTGGTCTAACAATGATTGGTGATTCCGAATTTATTTTCAACTAGTAGGAGTATAATTAAACTTCTTACTTGATGATTGTTTTTTTATGATATCAGCTTGAATTTTATTACTCAGTCTTTGAGCGGTAGGTAAAAGCGATTCGTAATATAGTATGAAACTCGACTGGCATTCATAACTATTGAATGATTAGATTTTAGCATGTTTTTTTAAGTTCAAAATTATGTGATCGTTTATGATACTGATACTGTTGAAGTCTGAAATCTGATAAATTTATACTCATATAAATTCATAGAAAAAGTATTATTGAGATCCAATGTTTGCTTGTTATAGTGAAAAATCAGATATTGTATGTAACAGCTGTTATCAAGTTCAATAAATTCAGTAGAATTTAGATAACCGTCAGAATCCCCTTGTATGTTTAAACGAAAAACAGCTACTTTTGCAGTCTATACAATCATGTCGTAATAGTTAAAAATAGTAGATGTCAATAGTTAAGTTCTTCAAATAGAAAAGATCCCTTTACCACCAAACATTCGTCATTTAGAAACTGTCATTTCAACCACAGCTGTAGTCGAAGATGCTCGATCCATAGATAATACAAAATAATACGATGTCACTGAGTGATAGTTGATTAAGAAATTAGACTTAATGTAACCCTCCAAACAAACTAAGTTCATAGGACAAATAAGCTGTATTTTGGAGTAGGATTTTTAATAAAATAACGTACTTATACACAATACAATAAAAAAAGAATAAAAAACTGGATAAATCCACTTAAGAGAGCCATTCTTTATGTAATTAATTCAAACCATCATTTCACCATCCCGACAAAATGATGTGAGACTGAGATCCACTTCAAGACTTTTAAAAGACAAACAAACTACTAAATATGTATGTTAGTAGTTGAGGTTGATATTACTAAAACTGCTAGGACAAAAGTAAAGAAGGTTGTTAGGTAGTGAGTGTATCATTCAATCTTCTCATTCAATTGAACACTTCATTAGAGGAAAAATATCCACAAGTGATAAAATATATGAAGTCAGACAGAAGATTCTGGTCAACCGGGTGAGGACGAGTGATTTGAAAATTCCACCCGCTGAGATGATGCCATAAAAATGTATTTGCTCTATCTTCATGCTTGATAAATAGTTAAAATCTCAGAACTACTCACTTGAATAAAAATTCTATGAATTAACTAACGATATCGATCGATCATGAAAGTTACTTTCAGTCTCATAAAAAGTTTATAACCTAATGCTATGCTAAATATCCTGAGAGACGAACTTGGGTCATAATGTGGTGTGAGCTGCTTATAAGTAGTGAGTGTCAACGTAATGTCTGGCAGCAGAAGATGGGGGAAGATCAAGAAAGGAAGAGTTAGAACACAATGGAATTTGTATGAAACTCATGAATAGGGACAATGGATTGATGTTTTGCAACAGGAACAGTCCAGTTCGATATGATGAACTGATATTTTGCAAATTAACAATTTACGATATGGTTTTCCGATTTTACTGAGTAACTCTGTAATTTTCGTTAAACACAATTCGGTTGCCCAACCTGTGTTCTCGTTCACTACAATAATACCTATATCGAACCAATCAACATCATATGTCTATTCGCTAACTAAATCTAATTAAATATCAGTCAAAATATCTACAACTGGATTATTTAAATCATTTTGTTTCAAAACTACTGAGGAATTTGTGTGCTTTTATATATTTCGTGCATTTGTATCCCGATGATGCGACTCCTACTTAAACCGAGCTCGTGAAGCCGCTGTAACACATAGCAATGTATGGCTTTTCCTTCCTTTAGTTAGAATTACATATGTTTTCCGTTGAGCTGAGACGTTTTGTGTATCTTTAGAACTTTGGGTTCACATTTAGTGAGATGATTTGCGTATGTTTTGGATGGCACGTTTGAAGATGTCGTTTTGGCAATCCGGTGAATTTGTACGTTTCACTACATCCCGATTACTACTTGAATCGGGATGAGTTGTTTAATTGCTTTTCAGAGCTTATACCGGTGTTCTATTCGAATAAGAAGCCGACTCAAACCAGCAAAAATCAATAAATTACTCCATGTCCCTGCCATCGACTATGGTTTGATCTTCAACGTTTTCTCCATGAATTATTACCTTGTCTGGTTATAAGAGATTTTAAGTTCCTTTTAATAGAGTTCGCCTTGCTGGCTGTTCAGGATAATGTTGATACCTCCTATACTGTGTTATAAGACAAGCGTCATAAGCATGTCCAGCATGCTTAGTGCCACGTCCCACTTTACTCACCTGTTTGGGTTGACGCTGTATTTGTTTAGCCTACAGTCAAATACAGAAGGTAGGGTTTCCAGTGTATTATGAATAAAATTTGTGCAAAAAATTGGTTGACGACCATTATATTTACTTGTTGCGGTTGATCTGGAAGTTGAAGTACTTTCGCCAATTTTTCAGCATATAAATAGTGTTTGAAACAGTGAGGGAAATTAGCATGATCTACGCTACGTATTCGGATACCGACAGCACAATGATAAGCGATGTCGGTCCTTTTATTGTGCATGACGTTATTTGAATAGATCAAGAAGTACGGACAAATAACAGAAAATGAAATGTCACTACCGATTTAGAAAATCGAAATTTATTTACGAGCGTAAACAAAACAGTATTCGGATACCAATAAGCAAATGCCAATGATTTTAACACACCTACTTCGACTAATTTTGAGCTGGATGTGAGAACTTTATTGTTTTTAACTCCATCAAAATACTTCTAAGGATACTGACTGTCGCAAGCCCTTATAAACGAGGAGGTGAGCTACTCCATCCCATAGAAAATAAACTGGCTGAAAAAAACGCTATCCAGAGAATATAATTAAAAATATTTAAATCTTGCCCTGAAAGTTGTAGGATCTTCATTTAGAACAGTCATAATCCCTCATGATGGAAGTCCGTTCTGACAGCCAGAGTGACGATTATTTTAGGTACACAGTCGGTTTATACATTGTGAAAGACCGAAAGAACCACTCAGTTTTCCGCGGAGATGAAAATATGCAACCCGGTGGTACTTGTATA